TTGAAGCAAAGTCTTAAAACTTTAAAAAAGATATTGACCTGTTATTTAATCACTATTAATTGTTTGATTTGATTAAAATATGAGTTAATACCCAAAATCGTCCTCGACTATAGTGGTTTTTCTCAATTTCGTCCTAAACGACTTTGGTGACCTAATATCGTCCCAGACTTTTGTGTTTCGCTCAATTTAGTCCTCCATTTGTTATTTCGTCAAATTGGTGTTAAATAAATGGACAATTCAGTAATGTCAATATTGATCTCTCTTTACTTTCAACTTGTGAAGTGCGAAATTCCTCTTTCTTGTACGAATTACACCCAGAATTACTCCCGGACCTGCAAATCAAATTTTATATTCGCAGTTTTAGGAGTAATTCTAGGGGTAATTCGTAAAAAAAAAAAGGATTTCGCAGTTCACATGTCTATGAGTAAAGAGATGCCAATATTAAAATTACTGAATTGTCTATTTATTTAACACCAAATGGACAGAATAACAAATGAGGGACTAAATTGAGAAAAACACAAAAGTCTGGGACTAAATTGAGCGAAACACAAAAGTCTGGGACGATATTAGGTCACCAAAGTCGTTTAGGACGAAATTGAGAAAAACCACTATAGTCGAGGACGATTTTGGGTATTAACTCATTAAAAAATCAACTCCAGAAAACTAAAATTCAAAAAGCTGCTCAAAATGATTTTTTCAATTAGTGTTTTAAGAAAAAAAAATTATACCAAAGAGCTATTAGCTAACAACTAATTGATCAAACACATTTCTACAATCAGCTAATGTTATTAACGAATTATACCCACTAATTAACCCATTCAGCTAACAGCTAACAGCTAACAGCCATTTACCAAACATGGCCATTGAGTTTGTACTGGGTGCTTTTAGAACAATATCTTTATAATTTCTGTTACAAACTCGATCAGCTCAATACCTTTTACTATTTACTTTAGGTGGTACCAAATATAAAGAGGTACTAGTGTCGATTGACACCTTAGAAACTTCTAATATATATAAAAAGCTCGAGTTCATTTCAATTGATTTGTAAGTGACTTAACAAACCACGAGTCAAAGAGTACGTCTTAAACTTGAGTTCGACTCAAGCTCACTTCAAGTTCAAATTTGATGGAACTTGCAAGTGCATATTTGGTGAATGGATCGTTTTGCTGTGCATCCGTATGCACCAAGCATGGTGCATCCGGATGCAAAAACGACGTCGTTTTGACGTCTAACTTTAAAAAAAAAAAATCAAAATTACATAACTACACATTCATAATTTCATAACTCTACATCCTGAATTACATAACTACACATCCATAATTTCATAACTATAAATCCAGAATTGCATAACTACACATCCATAACTTCATAACTATACATCTAGAATTGCATAACTACACATCCATAACTTTATAACTATAAATCCATAATTGCATAACTACATATCCATAACTTCATAACTACACATCCAGAATTTTATAACTAAAAAAATCCAGAATAAATGAACTAAAAAAAGAATAACATAATGTTGTTGCTGAGAATCGAAACTGATTTTTTTAAAGTAGGACGCGCATTTTGATGCAAAACGACGTCGTTTTTACATCCGTATGTCCCATGCATGGTGCATACGGATGCACAGCATAATTTGCCTTGGTGAAGCCCTACTTGTAACCCTAATTGGGAAAAATAGAGTTGTCAAAACGGACTGGCGAGACGAGGCCCACCCAAGCCAACAAATAATATAGGCCTTAGGGAGGCAAGCTCACCCTACTCTGCATTAAACCCACGGGCTTTGGTGGGGCCTGTCAAATTTTAAAAATTTTAAATTAAAAAAATTAATATAAAAATATAATAATTGTATACTAAAATAAATTGGATAGTTTAAACATATATTAATGCAGTTTTAATTTGTTAAACAAAATAATATAATAACTAATAAAGTAATAAGTCATAATAAATAATTAAATACATGCGTTAGTATATAAGTCAATATAACAAATTATTTATACAATATACTAATTACTAATACATTTTTTCAATATAAATAAATAAATAAACATATATAATTTTATATATAATTATATAATAAAATGCTCTCTTTGTGTGTATATATATACATACACATGTTACACAAAGTCCACCCTACCCTTTTGGCTGGGAGGGACAGGCTAGTCTGGTGGGTTACATCCGTTTTGACGGTTCTATTGACAAATAACCACAATGAGATAAACTAATATAGATTGTTGTTCATAGTTATTTGACTCAAACTAAGAATACAACACATACTAAATAATTCCAAGAGTTAAATTTAAAATTTTGCGATTACCAAGTCAAATGTTTGAGCATGTTATAGCTAGCTAGAGTTGCTTTCGACATTTTCACATCTAATTATATATACATACATATATTATGTGACTGTACGTGTATGTGTAACGTTGTGATTGGATGAGTAATAACAAAATTTATAAGTTATTTATATATTAATGTCATGGAAAATGTCAACGTCTCTTCTTTGCTGGAATACAAAATATAATGTGTGTGTGACTAATGACAGCACCTGTACTAGTAGAGTAATTGAATACTACAAATACAAAGAAATATATTCGAAAAGCATATGTTAAAAAGTTCAAACACATAGGCTTATCCGTACAGTCAAAATAGTTTCCCAAGTGTTGTGTTGTCCCTTTCCAGGGACTTTACTCACAGCCACTAATGAAATCTTCAAGATTCGGGAATCTCTTTAATTTGATGAAAGATAATTTTTTTTTTTTTTTTTGTATTACGAATTATATTATAATGTAGTATCTGTTTATAACTACTTTCTAATTTATTGAAGCACAAAAAGTCTGGAGATCAAACTCATGATCTCTTATTTTGAGAAAGTCACTCTGTGCCACTAGACTACAATGTCATTGGCGGATGAAAAATAATTAATAGTTAGTTAAAAACTCAAAATTGACATACATTATTGGCGTTTTAATTAATACCAAATAATAATGTAAAAATTTTCATGCATGCATATATACAATAGGAGAAATGACATATTTGGTTTTGAGTTATGTCTTGTGTAAACTCAGTCCCTTAGTAATTTAGAGTGTTGATTTAGTCTCTAGTCACACATAGACATATTTTGTCACCTCTTGATGAAAATGTTCAAAAATCATAATTTTTACAAAGTTATTTTTGTCATTTAAGCATAAATTTTGTCCACATATGATCTTATTCGAATCATGTCATCATTTTCATCTCAAGAAATAATTAAAATTATTTATAATAAAAAGTAAATTTATCAATAGAAAAGTACGTAGGTAAATTACTAGAATTCGTAAATATTTAATTTACGAACAAATCCTCGTATTAAAACACTTAAATCCATAGGTAACGTAAATCACTTCAATAAGTACTACCTAGCATGAACTAGATTAATCTCGGTGTGTAATTCTAATTGATGAGTGATTGACAAAACATGTGGTTGGACGACAAAAGAAAAAAAAAAGAAAAAGTTAACTTCGCTATATAATGTTATAATGATTAAATTAAACATATTTAAGTATATTGGCTAAATAATTACTCCATAATTATGAATAAAATGACGTATTTGATTTACGGGAAATTCTGCATGCAACTGCTATTCCAATGTGTATTATGGGTAAGGTTCATCTTGTAATCTTAATAGGCAAATTATCACAATAAGATAAATCAATATAGATTGTCTATAACTGATCGATTCAAACCGAGAAAGATAGTAGAATAAAATGATCTCTATACTATTCACAGATGGTTATGTGTTGATACATCAATTCTGCTCCATGTTGGATAATATTCAGTTGATATGTTTGACCGAGAGATGCAAAGGCAGTGTCGCTTTTGAGTGACAATATTTTTGAAGTAAATTGAGCAAATTAAGTTAGCATCAATGCCTTGCATGCCACTTTATTTTCTCCTTTTTGAAAACATCATGTGTGGGACTAACATTCCATATCAAGAATAGGAGCCTATGAGGGGGTGGGGGTCCATATATATGTGTGTTAAAATTACCCGAGAACATGTTATTTAAATTTAACATCATTAATTAAACAGTACGTTTAGGACAGGTAGTAAAGAAATTGCTGATAGTATAAGTGTGAAATTACATTGGAGATTCAACTCTGATAAGAATGTGTCATGTCAAACATTTAACTTGAATTTATCTTGATGCATTATTTTTACATTGGAGCAAGTCCGGTTATTAGTATTACTTGAAGAAAAAATGATAAGCTAAGGATACCCTCGAGTATTGATCATATGTTATGATTCATTGAACCGAAAGAAAATAAATGAAGATTATGATTCATTTTTTTTTAATCAATTAGAATATGCACACCCAGAACATAAAGAAAAATATAAGTGTGTAATTAACTAGTAATATCAAGTGGGTCGTGTCATAATGGTTCAACCCAGATCTACATAAATCCAACAGTATTACAAATTATGTTAACCTAGCTAACTCACATTTTCACACGGTCAATCTGGCATGGCTTGACCACATAAGTTTTACCCTACTTTAATTTACAGAAAAATCTGTCATTGCTACTTGAAAATGTGCTCTAAGTGAAGTATGCTTATGACCATAGCCAGCAAATGACCGCAAGGAGGTAAACTAGTTTAGGTTATCCATAGTTGACCGGCTAAAACCAAGAAGGCCAATAAACAACCCTCACGGTAAATCAAACTTAAAATGTTGTGTGGCCATGTCAGCAAACCGCAGGCGCAGAGACAATAGCGTACGTGTCATCCTCCTCCAGACTCCAGTCAACGAATGTCCAACCACGGTTGACTGCCCCAAATTTAAAGGACGTACGGTGGTCAACACACAGTAGTCCAACCCTTACGTACGGACGAATTGAAGAAGACAAACAAACAAACAAACTTGGGATCCGACATCATAGGCCGTACGGCCGACACATGAAATTAAAGTAGGCCAAGCGTGCAACACATTTTACATACAAACCCTATTTAACAGACTCCTTTTCCGCCAAGCACACCCACCCAACTCTCCTCCTCCTAAACCTTCCCTCCTTTTTCTCACATCAAAACAGCCTATTTTCTTGCATGGAGCCTTCCCTTCCACTCACCATCAACGCTACCATTAAGCTAGGTAAGACAACCTACGACGACTTTCTGCTTATTTCCTTGTCTCTCATCCTCGGAAGCGTAGTCGCCAAGTCTTTTACATCATAAAACCTAGCTTTCCCCTCACCATATTTCTCCCATTCACAATCTAAACGACGACGACAACAACAACAACAACATGGGATATCATCATCTTCCTCAGGAGCATCATCATCATCAGCTTCCCATGGTAACTTTTCTTTGCTCCCTTCCCTTTTTCACATAGTATATATATATATATATATATATATATATATATATATATATATATATATATATGTTATTCGTGGCCCGACCCAAACCCTGTTTTCTGTTTTTTGTTTTCTGTTCTTTGTTTATGTTTATTTGTAGGTATATATATAACTTCCACTACTTCATTAGAGAAGACCCAGACCTTGTTTTTTGTTTTCTGTTCTCTGTTTCTGTGTATTTGTATTTTATACGAGAGTCGTATTGAGAGAAAGAATGAAGATTCTTGGAAAGATGTGAAGTTGATGATAAGCTAATAGGTAGGGGTAAGGGGTGGGATACGATAGATAACAATGAATTAAAGAAAGTGAGTCCAGCAGGGTGGGAATGAATATGAAAGCAACCTTCATGATCATCATGATGATCATTATCATCATCTTTTAGAAGTTATTCCAAAACATATCATTTTCTTGAAAGCATTTTGATGGGCAACTTCCATGCTTTCTTTCTTGGATTACAATGGAATCTTTTAGCTTTTTTTCACTCATCGTAGCACTTAAGCTTTCCCATTTGAAGAATGCATAATAATGTTTGGTTGTTTGATTCTCTTAGCTTATTCAGAAAAATTGCAGGTAGGGATATAGTACCACTTCATTTATGCCTTAGCTTTTTCATAATGGGGCTTCTTAGTGCTCTAAAGTTGTTATTATTGCCTTTCCCAATTTGTATGTGACACTATTTCTCCCCCCAAAAAGATTACTTGCCCTTTGCTCTCCCCATATCTATCAATGCTCCCACCAAAGTGTGGGATATGATCGCAAATCGTTCTAACATAAAATTGATAAGCAATAGAACGGACCTGAAAAATGTAAGCAGATTTTATTCTTTTAGTGGATTATTTGTGATCAGGTGTTCTCTCTGTCGTGTCTGGGGGCGTAGGAGGTCCTTAGTATCTATAGAACATGCATGCAAGAATGGGATTGCATGATTGGGTTATTATGGTTTAATTTAATTTCACTAATTGTTATTATGGTGGATTGTTGCAGGAGGAGATTACAAGCCCCTTAAGTACTGCACAACTTCTTGAGTTTTGTGAGTCGGAGCTGTTCCCGGAGACGGCGGTGCAAATTTCCGAGGTGGGTTCCAGCTCCAATTGTTGTTACGAGGAACATTCGTCGCATTCCACGGGTCTTTCCGCCCACACTCAAGACATGAGTAAGTTCACCGGCGGAGCTGAAAAGAACGACGAAATCGCCACTAACGCGGCGGCGGTGGGGATTAACGAACCGGCCAACGGCGGCGGCGCTGCCAACAATAATAACAACTTGTCCGTCTTTTTTGACCCGCAAGAAGACGACATTTCGCGTACTATAGACTTTATCCCCGACGACGTCGACTTCTCCATCCCGCCGCAGTTCCTCCTCGACGGCCAGTTCGACTTCTCGCTGCTCAACGGCCAGGGCCCCGTCCCGGGCGGCCAGTACCCGCCGGAGCAGCTCATTCCGCCACCCCTGCCTCAACAACCGTACGAGGAAGAATGCTTGCCGTCTGTTCCTTCTTACATGCCGTCCTGTTCAATCCTCGACCCCACCACCATCGGAAACTACCTCCCCGCTGAAAATTCCGGCATCTTCACCGGCGCCGCCATGTTTCAGCCTCAAGAACTGGACTTTCAAGTAGACAATGGCAGACTTTTTTGCCCTGACACCATCTCACGGGCTTACAACTTCTCCAATGACCTTCAGGTACCAACTTTAACCATACCCACTCAACATTTCTTGAAATTCCACACATTCTTTCAAGATTTAACTGAATTCGAAGCAATCACAAGATTATAAGTTTGATCCTGTCACCTTTTTTTATTTGAATCGATCAACTGTCCAACCTAAGCTGGTTTATCTATTTATGTTCCTTTAACAGCTAGGGCCATAAGACAGAGTTTAATCAATTGTATTTATGAGTGGTAGATTGTGGGCAAGATCGATTTAACTGAACTTTTCTTTAATTGTCTTGTTGAATAAAAGGCAGTAAGCAGTGAAAGCCAACACCTCAGCACTTCGACGCCATTGGCATCAGAGATCACAAGCTTAGAGGATTCCACCTTCAAAGTGGGAAAGCTTTCTGTTGAGCAAAGGAAGGAGAAGATCCATAGGTACTTGAAGAAAAGGAATGAGAGGAATTTCAGTAAGAAGATCAAGGTATTACTTATTTACCATACTAATTAAACTCGTAATCCTGTTTTATCTGTCATGTTTATATTCTGTTCTGGTAATTACAAAGTAAATTTTACTCTTCAAGAATCGAATCCCAAGAACTTTTTGAGACATATGGAATAATAAATATGTGATTGATGTAACTCTTAGATCATATACAAAGACTACTTGTTTTTGGTTCTCAAGAAAAAGAGAGAATTTTTATGATTTGACGAACTAAAAGTGGTTTTGCAACTGGGCAGTATGCGTGCCGGAAAACTCTGGCGGACAGCCGGCCACGGGTGAGGGGAAGATTTGCGAAAAACGATGAAAGAGGCGGCGGCGGCCATGGCACGCCGGAGGAGGAAACCATTACTGAAGATGTTAGAATGAGTCTCCTCTACGATCCAAATCAGGCGGCGGCGCTGCAGCAGGCTCACAACGGCGGCGGCGGCGGCGGCGGCCGGATTTTCGCCGCCAATTGTCTGCCGCCGCCCGCCAATCCTTACGAGATGTGCACCACTACTTTGTACTGCACGGACAGCCAGATGCGTTCAAGATGATCCAGAAATGTCCGCCGCCGGCCGGCGGGCAAGTGCCGATGATCCTCCGGGAGAATTCAAGAACCAGGAAGAAACGATTAAGATTGTTTTTTTATGGAAATTTTGAATTGTATTCGATCTTTACACCTTTTTTCAACGTTTTTTTTTGTCGGATTTGGGATCATATGTATATATACGATGGATGATCAATCAGGCAGCTTGCATGGTTTTCTTAGACTTTTTGCTAAAATTCTGCAGAACTCTGCAGCTTCATTCGAAAGGATTTTTTAGAATCCCGAAGTGATCTGAGAGAGATAGATGGGGAAGATGAATAACGGAATACCTAATAACTGTTACGGTTAGTCATCGTATATATATGTATATGTAAGAGCAGTGTAAATCTAGAAATTTCTATGGTGACTCCTCACTACTTTTCTTTTCTTTTCTTTTCTTTTTTCTTTTTTTTTTTTTTTAAAATTTCTTTTTGGTATGGAGTATTCTATATCCTCGATTATAATATCATATAATAAATTTTTGTGACTATAATACTCCATTATATATCAAGGTTGAATCCCCAACTCTAAGTACCCTCATACTCCAGTCCGACAGAGCATTTGAAAAGATGTAAATCACTCTGACTCAATAGACATGGTTAAACGTCGGTGTGCACAAGGAATCTGAGATTTGTCCACTTTTGGCATAATCTCCACACGGCTACAATTGTTATACCGTGCACCAGGGCGCACATAGCAATGTGCGCCCGCGCCTTCCAAAACGACGTCGTTTTTGTAAGTTCTGTATTTTCAGGTATAAAATTTTGTGCATTCTATTATATAATTTTGTACATTCGAAACATGAGAATTTTCAGTTATAAAATTATGTGTTTTCCAGTATAAAATTTTGTGCATTCTATTATATAATTTTGTACATTCGAAACATGAGAATTTTCAGATATAAAATTCTGTGTTTTCAGGTATAAAATTCTGTGTATTCTATTATACAATTTTTACATTCGAAACATGATTTTTTTTAAAGAGTTAACAGCAGACACACAAAAAGGTTCAAAACGACGTCATTTTGAGTCAGGACGCACAATGCATTATGCGCCTTGATGCACGGTATAATTTGCCACACTACCACTGTCGAAATTTAAATTTTAGTATCTTCTCTCAAATACTATATATTAAACCAGTACGCTAACCCCGTCCAGACTTATTGATGCATTACTCGATCCATCAAATAAGAGTCCTCGACGAGTCACGCACTTAGCATCTTTCTAATAAATCTCTTTCGTTTCAAATTTCTTTCAAAGCAATACAAACAAAGACGACAACTACTCCATCATATCGCACTCAATCTCTTCATTCCTATCTCAACTCTCCTCTTATATTTTATTTTAATTTTTAAAAAAAAAACATTAGACCATCCCCGATAATAAAATCAATGGTACTTATCTTCAAAAAGAATATATCTATCTAACACCATAGAATTTCAAAGCTAGTGAATCTATATATACAAGTTGCAGCTGGAGAACATGTTGAACATGGTTGTCAGTCTGTCACTTTGATGCTCTTTAATTTTTGTGCCTTAAATTAGACTGTTGCCAATTGCCATGCATGCATGGATTCATATTTCGAGCCACCTTAAATCAAGTTGATTAAACAGTTATATTTTTTTTTAACTAATCAAACAGTTAGCTTGGTAATTATATAATTTTAAATTTGACTCTTCATGGGAGTTGTCTATTGATTTTTTTGGTTAAGCTTGTCAGCTATGAGAGTTGTCTTTTAACTTTATTGCTCGTTTAAGCCAGTCAAATCTAGCTAGCTAGCCAGCTAGGTAATCTAGCTTGGCTGATTTATCTCATTCATTCAAAGTGTGCCTTCAACTAACGACTATTAATTTTTCTGTTAATCAAAATATTCATGTACTAGAATAGTTGAATGAGGGCAAATTATGTTGTGCATCCGTATGCACCCTGTATGGTGCATATGGATGCAAAAACGACGTCGTTTTGCATAAAACGCGCGTCCTACTTAAAAAAAAAAATCAGTTTCGATTCCCAGCAACAACATTATGTTATTCATTTTTAGTTCATTCATTTTGGATTTTTTAGTTATGAAACTCTGGAAGTGTAGTTATGCAATTCTAGAAGTGTAGTTATGAAGTTATGAATGTGTAGTTATGAAGTTATGAATGTGTAGTTATGAAGTTATGGATGTGTAGTTATGCAATTCTAGAAGTGTAGTTATGCAATTCTGAAAGTGTAGTTATGCAATTTTGGATGTATAGTTATGAAATTATAAAAGTGTAGTGAAATTACAGATGTGTAGTTATGCAATTCTGATTTTTTTTTTTTAAGTTAAACGCCAAAACGACGTCGCAGATGTACAGCATAACGCTACGTTGAATGAGATGTTGTATTGTCTCTTGGGCAAAATTAAAAGACCAGCCCAAGCTTGAATATAAAACGACTATGATGTTGTCTTGGGCCAATAAATTTCCTATTATCCTTGATTCTAAAGCAGAAGATAAATATTATCGTTTTGAACATATATTCCTTTTTGGTTGATGTTGTACTGTAGGTAGTCTTGTGGAATACAATTATTGGGGATGAACCCATATGCCAAAATAAGAAAAATATAAAGTAGTGATATTGCGTATATATCCATCTTAAAGATAGAAAGTGAGCCTTCACTATTACGAATTAGCTAGGGTACTATTGATATATATATATATATATATATATATATATATATATATATATATATATATATATATATATATATATATATATATATACTAGTTTTTTACGCGCATTGCGCGATTGAGATAATGCTCAATGCTTTTTTTTAAATAAGTACTTTAAAGTATATTAAGGCATGATTATATTGAAATTGTTCATGCATAGATAATTGAAGGTTGAATTTGCTTATTTAAATAGGTAATTCTTCTCCCAAAGGTTGAGTCCCCAACCCCAAGGGCCCCCCACACTCTGACCCGACAGAGCATTGTGGGAAGTTGTAAATCACGGTGACTCAATGGTTCAGCAGACAAGGCCAAATGCTGATACGCACAAGGAATCTGCCCACTTTGGACATAATTCCCGCACTGCCGCCGCCGAGGTTCAAACCTTCATCTCTTCTCCCAAATACTACCCACTAAACCATTGAGCTAAGCCAGTGCGGGTTAAATAGGTAATTCTAAGTTTACAAATGCAAGATAATATAGTCAAGATTGATTATAATTGTCAATAAAATAATGAGTTAATTCCAGCAATGGTCCTCCCACTATTGCAATTTTCCAAAATTGGTCCTAGACTTTTAATTTGGACAAAAAAGACACTTGACTTTATTTGTTCCGGCAACGGTCGTTCCGTCAAATATAAGTTAAGGTGGTGTTAAGTAAAGGGGTAGTATAGTCATTTTCCTTATTTGCTTTCTTCTTTTGACCAACCCCCCCCCCCCCCCCCTTTTCTTTCCATTGCTCTTCAACTCTCCTCCATTGCATCCTCTTTCTGTTTTCACCCTCTGCATCTGCTACAATCATCTGTGTATGTCTATATCAAGAATTGAACCAGGCTGAGTGAGATTTTGGTCGTATTCTGAGAAAACAAAATGATGGTGGGAAAAGAAGATTTGGGGTTGAGTTTGAGCTTGAGCTTTCCGGAGATCAGTAGAAACTCTGCTTCTGCGACGCCATTACCGCACCTCAATAATCCCTTGCCCGCTCACCCTTCACCTCTCAATCTCTTCCACAAACCTCCCTGGGGACCTGAATCTTTCCCTTCCTCAGGTTTCAGATCTGCTCAAAATCTTACTTTTTATTTTTTTCTTGAAAATTTAAAAAGAAAACAAGGGAAAATTGTGACTTTTTCCCTGTCATTTTCTTGCTTTAAAGAGCCTGTATATATGTATTGTTTTGCTGATTTGAAATGGCGTAAAAGATCCCAACTTTGATTGGGTATTGAAAGAGAAAAGAGAAAGCTTTGCAGTGGATAAAAAGCTTAATAAGGTTTTGTGTATTTATGTGTAGATCGGAACTCGGAGACATGCAGGGCGGAAACTCGGACGTTGTTGAAAGGGATAGACGTGAACAGAGCGCCGGCGGCCACCGACGTGGAGGAGGAGGCCGGAGTGTCGTCGCCGAACAGCACGATTTCGAGCGTGAGCGGGAAGAGAGAATTAAATATAACGATGAACCCAGAAGAAAACTACGTGAAACGGGCGTGCTCCCGGGGCATCAGCGATGAGGAAGACGGCGAAACTTCTAGACAGAAGCTCCGCCTCACCAAAGATCAGTCCGTCGTTCTGGAAGAGAGCTTCAAAGAACACAACACTCTTAATCCCGTAAGCTCCCAAACATATACATATCCGGCAGCATTTTCGTCGTCTTCTCCAACTGGCCCGGCGTGTCCTTTTCGTACAAAGCCAGGGCATTCTCCAACCGGTTCGGCGTGTGCTCTTGCTTTCTTCAAGAATCCAACTTGAGTTCAATAGGTAAGAGTAAGATGGTGACAGAATCTCCATCCCCCACTCCACCAAAACCAAAATTGGTCTGATACGTATTTTCAAGAGGGAGAAGAAAGCAATTAAGGAAATGACTACACTACCCCTCTACTTAACGCCACTTTAACTGATATTTGACGGAAGGACCATTATTGGAACAAATTTGAAAGTCAAGTGTCTTTTTCGTCCAAATTAAAAGTTGAGGACTAATTTTGGAAAATCACAATAGTCGGAGGACCATTGCTGGAATTAACTCATAAAATAATTGTTAGGTATGGTTGAAACCAAATACGGGACATAAGGGAGAACAAATAAAAATTAGGACATAAAATATTAAATATATACTAATATTGTTTGAGGAGATTCCGACATTAGGATTTGTGGTTAAGTTCTATTAAGACTTTAATATTAGAATTAGATTAATGGTGTAGTTATAATTCTATATTAGACTTTAATATTAGAATTAGACTAACGGTGAATTAACGGAAAAGTTAAATGGATAATCATATAATTAAGGATAAATTAAAAAATCTTAAAAGAAAAAATTAAAACCTGAACAATATGAACCATTCATTTGATTTAATAATTTGGCGGTCACTTTTTCTACCCAATATTAATAATTAAATAAATTCGCTGGTCAAATACGCTAGTATAATCCGCTAACGTTAACCGCTAACTGCTGATTGTCAAACAAGGACATTGCGAGATAGTTCTCACTTCAATTTGTTGTGTGATTTGAATACTCTCGTTGTCACAAAATCTCTCAAGTAGTTAATATGGTTGACTTTATTAATTATATTTTTTTAATTTTTTCATGGTATTAATAAAATACTTGGTAAATAAATATATAGCATTATTTTGTATTATAACTTTGATATTTAATTAGAAAAATAGTGCACAAAAAAGATAATAGATAATGTAGTGAATATAATCAATTGATGAATTTGAAAGTAAAAATTTTTACATTTGAGAAAAATAAAGACAATATAACTAATGAAAATATTTCTTTTAATTAATTTATTGATAATTAATAATTTTTTGTCATTGAATAAAGACATTGTAAGCACAATGTAGCGAATATAATCAATTAATAAATTTGAATATAAAGAATTTTTATATTGAAGAAAAATAAAGACAATATAACTAATAAAATTATTTCTCTTATTTAATTTATTGATAATGAATAATAATTTTTTTTTTTTGAATAAAGGCATTGTGGACACATAATTCTAAATTAAAGAAATGCATATGTATTATTTTTTGTTGTAACTACTAAATTATTATTTATATAATTTATTAAGAGTAAAATAGAGTACTAATTATGCCAACTTTGATTGGGATGAGGTTCGAACCTAAGACTTTTTTTTTTTTTTTTTTTTTTATTGAAATCAATGAGTAAGTTAATGGTGAACTAACGGCAATTCTTAAAATTTTAACGGAATTAGTAACGGTGTGTGGGTATTTTAGGAAATTTTAGTGTAAAATTTAAATATGATCAATCTTTTAATCAATCTGAGCCATTCATTTGATTAAAATCTGTGACCGCCATTTTTTCTACTCATTATAGGCCTAACTCTCTTGGGCTCTTATTAGTATAGTATATATATATATATATATATATATATACATATATATATATATATATATATATATATATATATATATATATATATATATATATATATATATAATGTATTATTATGACATTTTCTTTTCACTTATTCAAATGACGCATCAAAGCCACAAGAGAAATGATTTGGAAGGGCAACGAGACGGAAAGTATACTCCTATCATTGTCTCCACGCCCCGTCCTCACCCTACTCGGGAAATAAAAAAAAAATTTCGTCTCGTCCTCACATGAAATTTTTAAGAACGGAAAATTCCCGCTCCTAATCATCATATATTCAAACTGCTAGTAGTTTAATACAAATTCTAATATTAAATTCATAATCCATACAACCAAACTCAAGGCCAGGGTAGGGTAAGGAGAGGTATCCGGTATCCCTGTCCTCGTTCTTCAAATTTTTGTCCCGCCCTTATCCCCTTTGGAGCAAGTTGGATCAAGGATCCCCGCAGGATAAGAGAAATTATCATCTTTAGATTGAAATGATTAGGTGTATTTGATATATCACCATCACATTATTATATATATATCTCTTTCATTCGTTTAATAACGTGCTACAATATAATATATATATATATATATATATATATATATATATATATATATATACACACATTCCTGCCCTTCGTGTGTGTGTGTAAAACGAGGGCATGGAAAGATATCTTATGTCCTCGTGCTCCGAATGTTGATCCCCGTCCCTATCCTCGTTAGAGCGGAGATCAAGAATCTCTGTGGCGTCAAAGAAATTGTACAAGTTTTGACATGTCATCTCTATAAATTATTAAGTATATTTGATATATTATCATTGTGTAGTTATATATCTCTTTTCATTTGTTTAATAACATGTGCTACCTTTACTTTTATTTATATTTGCACTCACGGGTGAGTTTAATCCAGATGAATTTTGACGGATCATTAAACACAGATGCTAAATTTGTATTGGAGTTTTGGTGCAGGTGGTGGTTGGCAAGACATTGTTCAATACATTCAAGCCACTAAGGACTTTCATTATCAACAACCTTGTTGAAGCAATCCGTATTTTAATCGTCATGGGCTTAATATAATGAACGGTTAGATTTTAATAACATTGCTTTCAAAATTGGTCTCTCATTCTACTAAACATAACAAATCACTTCATTATATTCAATTCCCATCCATCTTCCATTCTTTTCAAACTCCACTCAAACTTAGTCCACCCTTGTGGTAATAACATAAAGCTACCCAAATGTAATATGATATATACCTACTCAGAAATGGTATTTTAATTAGATTACTATTATGTCTGAATCGTGTCATAATGAAATTAAAGTAAAGTAGGTCGTGTTTTAAATTTGTAACATGCATAGTGTTATACATCATTGACTTCTCAATAACATTATTTCATCGTTCTAAAATCTCTGCTGGGACGTTTCTTTGATTTTTTGCTTTTTACCTATAGAATTTTGAACTTATTCCTAGGTTTCCATGGTATTGGAATCCAATTTTCATCAATACCACAAGATGATATTTTGAATTCTTACTATATATATACATTAGCTTATGGTTCTATTTGATAAAGATTTTAATTGTTAAAGAGCCAAATCTTTTACAACATGATAAGTTTCACTAAATTTTAATGTAATATGTTATTATTAGCTAATTTAATATGAGTTCTTTTTTAAATTAATTAATAACAATGCGTCACAACATCTTGTCAAATTTTTATTATCTCGTCATTATTAGTGCATATATGCAACTACAATATATGCGAATATTCCCTTTCTTCATATTGTCAACTCAAATATGATTGCCACGCTTTCTTGCGCCTTATGAGTGCACACATCGATCTCGCTATGTGCATGATTAAGTGAGTTTTACCAAAATAAAAATATAATTCATCAAAAAATATCACAACATAAAAGGGAACACAAAATTTTAATAGCTCTCAAATATACTGCTTTCAGCAATTATTATTATTATTATTATTATTATTATTATTATTATTATTATTATTATTATTATTATTATTTTGCTTATCCTGCCAAGCTCCTTGCAGACGAGAATGAACCTCTACACCACACGGTTCAAACTCCTTAAAAAGTTAAAATGCATTCTACTAATGCAAATGAATCCACATTAATTATTTTCTAATGTGCTACTTATGCTACTTAAAAACCTCCTCAAACTCCAATTTTCTCAAATCAATGTGTATACTTTGAAAATCATTTTCTCATTTGTCTATTATCCGTTTTGAGTGTATAATATATCAAATTAAACCTCACCTAGAATAACTTGAGTCCACTTTGAGGTACTCACCCTAAATGAGAGTAAATCCATTCAAAATATTACTTTAAACTGATCAGTCACTGCTGGAAATTATGGAATTTCCGATCACCTGAAAGTGATCTTAAATCAAGTCGAAAGCCTTGTTCCGACCGCTTTTGATATCCGGAAAAATCTTTGTTGCTATTTCCAACTACTTTTTGCTTTCGACTTGATTTAAAATCATTTTCAAGTGGTCGGAAATTCAATAATTTCCAACAGTGACCTAAAATGTCATTTAATTTTAAACCATTCTTTTTACCATATATGGTTGCCCTTAAGCCATGTTCCCGTTGTCCAACCATGATCTCGAACAGTGAAGTAGACAGACACATATATAGTTTTTAGTACTCTTGAAGAATTTGGTATGATGACTCACCTAACACTAAGCACTTGCGACGTTGAAGCTAAGTGGATCACTCGGAAAGTGGGACGACTTTGGGCAAAATGGAATTAACCCAATGGGATTGCCCAACTTTCAAACAACATCTTCATCACAATCTGTGCCCCCATCTTTTGTTTTCATCTCACTTTTATAACTCAAACTTTATCTCAAACTTTTATTTAACCGATCAGCTATAGATAACATATAGAATAATTTATCTTCTTGTAATTTTTTGCTGGCTAAGATTATAAGACAAGTTTCACTGAAAGGGCACATTCAATTACGATTACGGATTTTTATAAATCAAAAGAAAATAAGAGAATCTTTTTGTGTTGTTTGAATTGAAGAGAATGACACTTGCACAAAATGACAAAATGACAAAATGACATCCCAGAACTATTATTGTCTCACATTATTCTGTATTGATCTGATCGATTTTCATCATCTAGTTGCAATTGGAGGATGCCAATCTGTATAAATTTATCTATTTCGATCTTATAATTACACTCAATAATATACTTACCAATAATTGTCAGTTGCTTTTATTCCTTTTAATGGTGATTGTACATGTATGAGTATCTATCAATGGTGATAGCCCACAAAAAAAGTTCTATTTTCATCGTATTACTTAATTAAGAGTTTTTAATTTGCGTCAAAATTTTTAGTTCAGTAACAATTCTTTACATTCAAATCATGTCGGCTAACATATATACACATATATCTTCGACAACAGCCGTGTGAGGACAGATTATGTTAAAAGTGGGCATATTCTTTGTATGCACCAGCATTTGGCTCTATCTGCTAAATCATGTATTGAACCACCGTAATAGACATCATCTCAAATGCTCAGTCAGGTAGGAATGTAAGGGGAGTTGGAGATTCAACCTTTTGAGAGAAGAAACATACGCATATATACCTACACAAATTGAAATTTGAAAACCCTAAACCTCATCCACAAAATTTGGTGTTACGTTTCAACATGCTGATAAAATAAAAATAAAAATCTAACAAATTTATACTTGAATATAATATGTTCACAAACTTTTACCATCTCAAGCAACTGATTTTGCGTTATACCCAATTTATAACATGTTAAACCTGCATGTTTATACTAAATACAACATGACATTGGTAACGATTTAATAATCCTATACCTTATTAGTAAGTAATTATTCCAATTACTTATTTTTTAAGGTCTTTTTTTTTTTTTTTTCAACTTAACTCATATTTTTGTTCTCTTTTATTGCATAGGATGCTTGTATGGTATCTATCCATCTAATTAACAACCCCTAATTAATTGCATAATATTATTTTATCAGATGCAAAACAAAGCTCATGATATAATTATTATATTTTCATCATTATAAAGCTATTGCATCTACTTCCAACAATTCCATTGTACTCCACTATGGATAGACTATGAAATTATCATTTTTAGTTTGACTATTTCTTCATCAAAAACCAATATATTTTTCTGTCCTCAAATGGATGATTGCGCAATGACTTAAGATAATTATTATTCTGCAGCTATGAAGATTTATGGGATGATTACTTGAATATTTGATCAAAATTATGCTCCAATATATATAAGTATTGCCCCGGGAGGAGTGGAGGAGTATGTAGAACATGATTCTCATATCTGGAAGGTTATGAGTTTGATTATATTCTCGTCAACACCCTCTCGATCAAGTTTATTGTATAAAACACCCTCGCTTAGTGGCTACAAATCGTTATACAAATCAGCCAAATTGACGGGAATTTTTTATGGGAAAGCACGCAATTATTACCCAATAATTGTGCGCTATGGGTGAAGCTCGCCTTGTAACCCTAATTAGCAAAGGACTGCAAATGATAAATCAACTATCAAATCAACTCGGTTGAGGTTTTTCCCATTATTTTTACTATTTGTTATTTTATTTTTAAAAAAATGTCATCACCTTTTTTTCAAACATATGTGATTTTAATTTTGTCGGACTAATCCTTAGTCCACAGGACCCTGTCCCTAGAGCCACTGCAGAGATAAATAGCGAGACAGCAATCAGCCCATTGGTTAGATCATATTCTTCATGTGCAATCATCACCCTTTTTATATATAGTAATCGTCATTTTTATGTATAGTAATGCTTAGAGAAAGCGTGTGGGTTAGGTGCATTCTAATGAGATGGGATCCATGCAACTTAATTGATAGTTTAAATGCATTTTATGAGACTAATTACTTTAATTAATAATCTTTACGTACGGGTAACTAGTTTTGTTTTTAAGTAGTATTAATAATTTGATTTCGATTTCACCTACATTCATGAATGTAAGTTGTCTACATGCATGGTACTTCCGATCCCTCCTAGTACATGTTTAGCTAACAAATAATAATATTGATTCACCTGTTAGGTACTTTTTTATTTAATGATATGATGGCTACTTTAAATTAAAGTACTCGTGATCACGAAAGAGATAGTCGAATCGATTAATCATAATTATGGTATTAGAATGTCACGAATTCAATTTTTGTCAACACCATTTCGATTAATTTTTCTAGTATATATGAGTTTGCGATCTATTACACAAAAATGATATTCCAAGAATTACATAGTAACATAAAATTTATCATTAATATAGAAATATATGAGTATACAGTATACTATAATGAATTAATTACTTAGAAAAAATATTTCTTTTTAAAATTCTTTTGGGGGAGTTTTCTTTTTTTTTTTTTTTTTCTTTTTTTTCTTTGGGGGGGGGGGGGGGGGGGGGTGGGATAACTGTAAGCCACTTGGAAATTTTTAAATTGTGTAGATGATTTCTGCAACTATATTTGACCATTTTCAAAATTTGAAGTTATGCATTATCACATCATACAGTAGGTTCACTATTTAACAACTTGTTGAAAATTTAAATTCACTATATATAGTTATTTATGAACTACGTAAAATCAATAATGTTTCATAGGTTCTGACATTTCCCTACGACTATGGTTTTATACATTTTCTGACAAAACCTCAATTATCATAAAAATCCAAAAACAAAATGCAAAATGACAATTTCACTCACAAAACATATTTTATCTATTATTTGATTCACAAGAAAATTAAAGTGTGAATTACTACTGTATCCGGTGCAACTAAAACAATCTAAAAATAAATATTAAAAGTGATTGCCTTTACAATACGTCAATACCCGATGCAAATCTAAATTTTTTCCTATTCACTTTGAAATTGTACCGATTACTGAAATACTGATGTCTGATAAGCACTATATACAATTGTCATTGATTCATATTTTAAGAAATTTCTATTACTCCGTATTATTTAAAATATGTATGGCCATATAGACATATACTACATCGTAACAAAATCGGTAGTACTCAACAAAAAAATAATTCTTATTATTATTTAAAGAATAAAAAATATTGAAGTTCTTGCCATCATCCCATTAAATAAAGCAAAAAGAATACTTTATACAAACTAGCTTACTTTTTCAAAGTTTGTCCTTGACCTTAGCTTGCCCACATAGATCTCTATAATGTACCCACAAATTGAATAAAATACATATAGTGGTAGATATCTAAAGGGAAGTCACATGTTTTTCAAAATCATAGGTTAGGAATCAAAGACTTAATGTGGTATGTCTGCCTAATATATATATATATATATATATATATATATATATATATAGTCTTTGCAACGTGTCCTTTTAGTTTGTTTGGTTGCATTTGTTGTCGTTGGTAGTGTTCAACTGCTCATCAGGCAGTGCCCTCTGCCTACTGCCCATTTACTCTCACTCCCAGTGTGCCACTCAAGAAAAGTCATGGTTTGAACCAATACAAAAGTTTACTATTAACCGGCTGAAACTAAGAAGGTTAATAAATCACTTTCATTAAAAGTTGATTTAGGCTATTCATAATTGATCGACTCAAATAATGTGAATAATCTGACCAACTTGATTAACTTGCCATGCCAGTAAACTGTTTGGGTAAACCTAGGTTGCTTATAGCTGACCGAGTCAAACTAAGAAAGCTAATAGGAGTTTTTCTTGGAAGTTAAATTTGTAACTTTGTGATTACCAAGTTAATAGCCTAACTAACTTGACGGGTTGTTTACACCAGTAACCCAACCTAGATTATCCATAATGACCGACTCAAACTAAGAAGGGTAATAAACTGCTCATAGTGTAAGTTTAACTTATAACATGGTTACCATGTCAATAGTCTAATGAACTTGACTAGGGTTATACCTGCTCTAAATTGAGTTTAAGTCAAACCAATGAGACAAATAAGCTGGTCCGGCTAAGAATTAAATTTATAAGTTTGTGATTATCAATTTAACAGTATGATTAATTTGAAAAGAAAAACATATAACAAATTTTCTGAAATTGGATCTATGGAAATGCAAGGCTGTTCTGTCCCACCTGTAACTTTAACAGTAAACTCTGACATATATATGGTGTGGATGGATATTCTAAACATGATTATACCATTTCATTTTTCCCAGTCGTGGCTTACGGCATCATTAGGCCTAACCTTAACCCCAGTTTTAGTGAATAATCATTTCCATTTTTCTTCCTTTTCTGTCTACATCTTCTCCCAGTTTGGCTGCTGCTTCTTCTAGAATCTGCAAGAAATGTTTTTTCATCGTTTGTTGTTGAAAGCCTTTAAGAAGAGTTGTTTTTAGTTGCAGACGAAGTTGATGTGGTGGGGTTCTTTCTTCCATGTGCAAGTTGGTAAAGTTATCTTTTTTTTTTTTTTTTTTCTTCTTCTTCTTCTTCTTCTTCTCATTTTCGTTATTTTTAATGTATAAAATTGACTTTTTGGGTGGTGAAATGGTCCTCTCTTATGCTTTTATTCTTGAAACTGACCAGCACTATGCTGTCTTTATTGGGTTCCAGTTGCTTGTGAAGGAGAGGAGAAGCAGAGGCTGCTATTTGGGTCAAGAAATTGAAGTGGGCACTGCAGTTTTCAATAAAATTTTTTAGGTGAGCAGAGATTTGAAATTAATAGACACTTTCTTGACTGTTTTCATCTTTCTGTAATTCTGGGCATCTAAAAGTTGCAGTTTTTATACAGATTGCATATCCTGCTTGTTTGCTTGTTTAACAGCTCCCATCATAGATTATTGGAGTGCATATGTGTATGTATATATATATGTATATGTGTGTGGGTATATTATGCAAACTTTTCAGAACTGTTCTTTCTTTTGGCTAGATGTTAGAAATATCATGTTGATAATGAAAATTGCTAGTTTCTTGATGGTTTAGAGTTTTGCTGAGTTTAAGGGTTTAGGTTCCATTGCTGTAAGAGAAGCCTTTCTGGAAATAGAAACTCCTTTCAGGTCAATACAGTAGAAAAGTTTTATGTTTTTTCGATTCGTTCCTTTGCATTTGTACAAATCACCATGAAATCGGGGATTTGATAAGTTAGAACTAATGTTGTGTTTAGCTCGTATCTCTCTCTGTGTATCTCTTTGTGGTGTCTCGATGGATAACTTCAAATGTTTTCTGCTTCAATAGATTTCTTGCCTTGCTTCAAATGTTTGCTGCTCTCTTGGAGGTATAATATGGAAAGTAAAAAAGAGGTGACAGAAGATTCGATGAAATTCATGGACGATAGCTTAGAATCGACAGAAGAAAATGGTTTGTCAGATGTGCTAATTAAAAGGTTAGAGCCACACCATCTTCTTGTTCTAAACACATCCCGTTCCTGCTCTGTTGAATTCGGTGATCAGAAATTGTTCCTCCATGGCCTAGATAAGAAGCTTCCGAGGCATATAATAAGTTTCGACGAAAGACACTTAATCCGTTGCCTTAAATTGATAAACGAGCATGTCTCTGGAGTATCATTAGGCAGTTTTTCGTCAAAAATGGGAATTTTATCTCACAACTTGAATTCCCAAGGTAATAGCAATATGATTGGTTTGGTGGCTGGGGCCGAAAATATTGTCCTTAACTCTATAGGGGACGGGATCGTTGGTGCAATTACCCATAGCAAGAGTATGGTGAACATCCTAAAAAGCCCGTTACTTGTCAAACTGGGCAGCTTGGATTTCGATGTTAACTCGGGGAAGACAAATTTACTTGACATTTCTGATTCCCCGAGCTATCTTGGTGATTTTAATACCAGTTCATCTCAGAATCTGCAGTTTGAGAGGACAGTTGGGTATAAGTATAATGGATACCAATCCATACCCGAGCAAAGAAGTCTTGTTCCAATTTCAAGTACAAACTCTACCAGTTCAGATCAATCGTCTTCTGAAACGACTGCTATTTCTCAAGGAATGCTCCAAATCACGTGGAAAAACGGTTTACCACACTATGTTTTCTCGACAGATGGAAAGGACGAGGTATATGTAGCTGACTTGCTTAAGGTTAACTCGACCGAGGATAAGTTTTTGGATTATGTTTACATATTTCATTCGGGATCGAGTATTGTGGGTAGAATGACAGTGTCTAATTCGTGTACACTCGATTCGAATAAGTCACAGATTCTGGAGAGGCAATTTGTGCTGTACGGTTGTGGTGATGGGTTCGTGGATGATACCCAAACCTCGAGTCACGCTCTGAGAAAGAACAAAAGACTAGCGAAGAGAGTGGCGGATGTGTTTAGGACGGTCCATATGTATAAGCAGAGAAGCGTGTACAAGTTTAGTGGAGCAAACGCAATTCACGAGGAAAATCCCGGGATGGAATCCGATTCGGGTATTGCTAGTGATGCAGAAACTGTATTTATCCCTAATCTCGAGTTGGCTGCGGTGGTTGTGAGAGATCATGTGTACAATAGCCCGAAGAAAGCAGAAACCGGAGGGTGGGGGTTGAAGTTTCTCAAGAAATCCAGGACGGGGCAGAAAAACGCGAGCTTAGAGGCCTCGATACACTCCGAATGTCCTTCTTTTAGTAGCGGTGAGTGCTCAACGAGCATGGATGTCGTAGTGCCGGCTGGTTTTCATGGCGGGCCGAGAACCAGAAATGGCGGTCCTTCTAGCCTACTCGAGAGGTGGAGTTCTGGAGGGCATTGTGAGTGTGGAGGCTGGGACGTCGGGTGCCCACTAACTGTTCTCAACACTCGACCAAACAAAACCGACGCTTTCTCAGAAACACGCCTATCTGAAGATTGCAAAACTATTGATCTTTTTATACAGGTCAGTAAATCATCTCGCCTTTTTATATCCCCGTTTCAAATTTAGCTGTTAGCTGATTGAGTTAATTAGAAGGTATAATTAGTTGATAACATTAACTGATTGTAGAAATGTGTTTGGTAAATTAGCTGTTAGTTGATGACTGTTTGATATAATTTTTTTTTCTCAAAAAACTAATTGAAAAAGTTGCTTTGAGCAACTTTTTGAATTTTAGCATTTTGGAGTTACAAAAAGCTAATTAACTAAACATTTCTATTGATTCTTTTAACCAAGTCAAACAGCTAATAGTGATCAAATAAGCCAAAATTGGCCTATAGGCCAACTATTTTACCAAACGGACCAAAATAATCCCCTAAATTTTGATTCTTGCAGGGCTCCCGGGAAAGTGTACCGATCATGAAAATGGCAAACATTCATGATGGTTTATACTATATTCATTTCCAATCAACCCTGTTGTCTCTGCAGGCTTTTGCCATCGCTACTGCTATCATCCATAGCCGTAGTCCTATCCTTCGATCCAAATTGTACAGGAAGTGAAGTGACAGCATTAAAGAACTCCGATACTTCTGCTACATCCCAGTTTTCGCCAAAGTTTAGATGAATTTGCAGCTCTTTATCCCCCGATTACACGACAAAAGTAGCCATGTCACATGATCCTAGTGTTCATAGCGTTTTCTTGCTCAAAAGTTACATCGTTTCGCGACCACTGAAAACTACAGAGTAATAGGGCAGTGTTAGCTTCTGTTGATGGTTTACATGACAAAAAACTACCATTATTAGCTTTGTGCTTCGCGAAATACGCGAGTACTTAACCATGTTTTTTTTTTTTGGTTTTTTTGGAGCAATTGATGAATTGATAGGGTATTCAAAATCCATGTAAAACTTATGTAATGTGTAAAGGAGCATTTGAAGTTTTTAACTTTGCCTAGCTGGCTGCAGGCAATATGTTGTATAGCATAATATGTGGATAGGAACTCCAGGCGGAGATTTGCCTTTCTTGCATACAAAAGGTGAAATTTTCTTGCTCCCGGGCCCCACATTCTGAGCCGACGGGATAGTGGAGGAGATTTGCCTTTCAGTTGTGTATGTTGTTCAAGCTAAGTGTTTTGTGTTAAAGAATTGCAGCTGATAATTGTTGTGTGTTTTTGTGTCACATTTTACTTCATTTATAAGTTGACAAAAATGCACAAGAGTCAAATTAACATTTTTTAAAATTTATTTGTTATTTAAAATCACAAATTTATGTAGGTAAACAATGTGTATAGGAACAAACTTTAATAGTTTATGTTAACTATTAGTTAATACTTGATTATTAGCAAAATGCTTTTTAAAACAAGATGATCATTGAACAGTTTTTTTTTTTTTAAATTTTAGTAGTTGTAGCAATAAGTTATTATAAAAAAGTTATTTAATCAAACACTTATATTAACTGTTTAACAAAATCAAACAGTTAATAGTGGTCAAAATAAAAAATATGTTACCAAACAAGATCAGTATAATCAAACAATTATGACAACTTATATTGGTGCTATTTTAGACGTGAGATAATTAACTTGCCACTCACAAACATAGTCGAGATGAATGGCATATTTTTCAACCGTGTGAGCATGCGCAAATTATATCGTAAATTAAGGTCCATCATATACATTGTGGACCATAATCGAGATTATGTATATACAATTGGGCCGATAATTCATAGATAAGAGACCTAAAGTAAAATAAACTCTATAAATATATGAATCCCACTCATTAAAATATCTTGTATTACAAGTTACAACATCTCTCCACTTCTCCAACTTTCCAACTTCTCCATTTTTGTAAAGTTCCTTCATTTACCAGGAAATCTTGCCATCAAAACTCCAAAGAAGAGGTAATCTAACAACAAATTCAACTTTGATCTCCAAAATCTTTTACATATAATGCTTGGAACTCTACAAAATCAAACGTGCACATCCAAAACCCTAACGACCATTCAAGGGTTTTGTGCATGCTATTTGATGGCCCCCACCGCGCACCATTGTGCTTATTGGAGTGTACAGTAACCCGTTTCCAACAATATTTTGTTTTATTATTATTATTATTTTTTTTTTTCCAGTTTTTGTTGTAGTGATGCATCTGTATTTTGAAATGCTTGAGCTTCTTTTTTCTTAAAAAAAATCATAATTTTATCTTATGCTTAAGGTTGTGTTTCTGATCATTTTATGTGGGCTGTATAAGTGTTCATTCAAGTAAACAAGTTATATTTTCCAATGTAACATGTTGATCGGAGCTGGTTGTTCTATGTCCAAAGCTCATTTTTTTTTAATGGATGGTACGAGAAAGTAAATGGATATTTGCATAATGTTTTCTACAATCTGATGTGACATAATGTTATCATAATGTGATTAACTTGGTGGAGTTGACAAACTTAAAACCGCATAAGATAGATATAAGATTTGGTATAAGTAACATTTTCTGCACGGAAGAACTATTGATGTTTTGTTACCTTTACTTTGAAATCTGGTTATTTGTTTTGAAGTTAGAATCTTGATTTACTAATCATGCTAAACTCCCCTGTGCTTTAAGATTGGTTAAGTTTTGGAGTTTGATCTTACAATTTCTAGTGATTTTTGAACTTGACTTTAAGACATACAATAATGCTTGGACACTGTTTTGCCATCTTAGGGACAAAGTTACAGTTAGTCTTCCAAGATTGGCAAACATTCAAAATGGCGCCAAATAATAGATGGAAGTTTGCTAGGGCGTACAAGGCAATGAAGGCACTTGGTTATTCTACAGAAATAGTGAAACCAATACTCAAGAACCTATTGGATGCATATGACAAAAACTGGGATCATATTGAAGATAACAATTATGCTGTTCTTGTTGAGGCGATTTTAGATGACGACGAGCAAAAGGTATACTTGTGTATACTTTGAAATTTCATAAAAGATTTTCAGAACAGATTTTGTATGTTTTTGCAAAACATTCCGTGCAACTTCACTTTCTTCAGCTCTGCAGTTAATGTGAACTGGTATAATCATATATGTATTTTGAACTCAGTTGATGGACCAATTCTTCACCATATCTCATGTGCTGTTGCAGAATTGATCTGATGAACATTGACATTGTTGTTTCTTGAACAGAAGGATGACCAACTACTGACTTCCTGGCTTGAAGATGAATCTGATGAAAATGATGACCGCCCAATGAAGCGATCTAGACCGACTCATGGAAGTAGTAATTCTTCACCTGCTCATATATACCCTGATTCAATACAGAGTGAAACAACTGCTGGTTTGCTGTATACACAGAAGAACAGCCATGATAGGTCTTATACGACTCAAGGGAATGATGAACTTGCAATGCAGGTTCTTCCTCCACAAACAATGTGTAAATTCAGAGAAAAGAGAGAGAGTTCCCCAAAACCGTCCATCATAGATATTGAAGTGCTGTCGGATAGTGAAAGTGATCAAAATGATTCTGTGTCCTTTCAAAAATCATGTTTGATTAGTACTGAAGGAACATCACCTCCATTTTTGGCTATGACTAAAAGAAGATTAACATACGAAAGCACTCCTGCTCCCTTATTAGAAAATCCAAATGTTGTGTGCAGTTCTGATGTTTCTTCCAACACAAATGCTCTTGATAAATTTATTTCTGGTGCCATGGTACCTGTAAATGAGCCATTTCCTGATGACCAGCCAGGTTCTCAGTTTCCTCTAGCTGTAGTCTTTCCATATATTTTCTCTAGGAATGAATAAAATGTCATCTTAGATCCCTTTATTTCCATCCTGAAAATACAATAGGTTGATGAGTTTACTTTATTTTTCTGGCAGAGTATCTCTTTTTGTTAACTGTTAGTAGTGAGGGTTGATATGTGAATAGGCTAGGAAAGTGAAATGCATAATTCTTGTTAAGGAGTAGCTGTGACTTTCATGTCAGAAAGTATCCCCCTATTGGACAAATTCTGGTTTCATGGTTCCATATTTTGTAAAGCTTCACTAGTTAGCATTTTGTTTTTGTGCAGCATGATAGTACATAGATAAATTTAAGAAGCACATTAGAACATTGGTATTTTTGCCTTGTGAGTTTTATTAGAAGGAAAGTGAAATGCATAATTCTTGTTTTCTTATACTGGATGATGTTAACCTTTGGAATGCAATCTCTCTTGTTATTATAATTCTTTCGTCTACTTCTTCCTCTTTTCATTATTTGAAGAATTTTTAGATAGATTTAGATATTTCATATGGAGTATTGTTCTTTTGATCTGACTTTACTTCTCTTTTTATATCAAAATTCATTCCTATTTGAATATGAATCTGTGTGTATATATATAACTTGCTTCACCATGAAAAAGTTACTGATATTAGTTTAATTTCACTGTTGTATACTTGTCTTTGTTGCCTGAGTGATTTTGCATACTGTATTCAGCAATACATAGCACTATCTTTTACTCTTTTTTTTTTTTTTTTTTTTTTTTTTTTTTTTTTTTTTTTTTTCACTCAAGTGTTTATTGCTTTTCTTAAAAAAATGGTTCTGTGCTATCACTCCGAGCAAGACAGACATTACATTTTGGCATTCTTTCTATTTAATCAAACAATGAATTTTCAATTCTAACATTTCTAGCAATTGCCATGCACATTTATGAGTACATCCTCTGATGACTTGCAGGTGAATTTCTACATTCTGGAACTTCAACTACAGAGGAAAAATGCTTAGAATTATCTGAACCAATTCTTTTGGGCATGGCGGAAAAGGGTAAGTTTTTCTCATCCATTTCTTTGCAATTTACACTTGTGATCCCAAATTTGGCTTCATCCAGCATTCCATCAGCCTTAACAATTTATATAGTTGCCTGCTTTCTTTATTTCCTGAGAGTGTTGCCCCACTAAAGAGTATTTCCTGATATGCATTGATTTATAGTTTTATACAATACATGATTCACATGAAAGTGGATTGGAGTATAAAGCTTCCTTCTGAATGTTGTTGTTTTCCTTTTTCATTTAATTTGTCAAGATTAAGATGGGGCATTATTTTCTGCTTCAATGATCATTTCTCCCCAGCTCCCCAACCCAAAATTAAATTTTATCAGTGAGAAATTTTGAGCTTGTTGTAATGGGTTCTAGCTTGAAATCATCCTCTAAAGAACAAGGTAAATGTGTGCATATCTTCCTTCCCTGTACCAGCATGATGCACTATCCTTGCACACTGGTCTGATCTTTAAAGTTAGATTAGTAATCAATTGTTATCTACCGTAATTGTTGAAATCTTCATCTTTTACGTGAAGATGGATCTTCAAATGGAATTGGAGGACATTTTTTGGAGTTCCCAGGCTCTGAAGATTTGTATATAGAGGGGAAACAAAATGGGCCATCAGATTCATCACAGCTGGATATTGCTTCCACTCTCAAAGGGGAAGTGAAAATTTCTTTGATCTACAAACCTTCTTCACAATCAGATTTTTGTGCTCCAAGTTTAGATACTGTGGTGCAAAGGGTGGAAGAAAACTATGTTAAATCATATGGAATTACTCAACCTGGATTCTCATTGCTGAAGCTGATGGAAGATGTGTGTGAGGACTTTCTTGCAGCTGGGACCATTTCTAATGGGAAAACAAGATCTTTACATGCACAGTCAACTACTATTGTCCCGGTTAAACATAATCAGGAAGCCATCAGGTTTGGGTGTGCAGATCATCAACCCATGTTTTGCATTGCATCGGAGTATTTTAATGGGACAGCCATATTTCGTAACCTTATCAAAGTCCAACCTCAAATTCCGATAGTTCCACGCTCAAACATGTTGGAAACTATTTGTATCATGAGACATATCAATTGTAAAAGAAGTCAAGGTGCTGAGGAGCACAGCAAAAGGAAGTCTCCTGAAATTCTTGGATCCTCAACTACATCCAGCGGCAGTATGGTTGTTTGTGAGCAACAATCTTCACGTAAGCCTTTTTACTATGTTGAAGACATTACTAAAGGTGAAGAAGAGCTGAAAATTTCTTTGGTAAATGAATTCAGCAATGACCGTCCACCTCCATTCATGTACATTCCTACCAACACTGTTTTCCGAGACGCACGCATCAAATTTCTTCTTGCTCGTATATCAGATGACAACTGTTGCTCATTTTGTGCTGGGGATTGCTTGTCCCAAAAAATACCCTGTGCTTGTGCCGGTGAAACATGTGGTGAATTTGCTTACACAACAGAGTGCTTAGTTAAGGAAAAGTTTCTTGAAAGTTGCATCTCAATGAATAGTGAACCTCAAAAGCATCATCAGTTTTATTGTCAAGACTGCCCACTTGAAAGGTCAAACGATAAAAGCTTGCCTGCAAAATGCAAGGGTCACCTTATAAGGAACTTTATTAAAGAGTGCTGGCATAAATGTGGTTGCAGTAAAAAATGTGGAAATCGCGTTGTTCAGCGAGGCATAACTGTGAAATTGCAGGTGAGAATCCGTTCCTTGTATCCTACTTGCAAATTAAAACATCTTAACTGTACTTATGATCTTATTGTGTAACCTGCTTTTTTCACATGTACAAGGTTTTTATGACTCCTGATGGAAAAGGATGGGGGGTGAGAACACTTGAGGACTTACCCAAAGGTGCTTTTGTTTGTGAGTACGTGGGAGAGATCGTAACCAACACGGAACTATTTGAGCGAAATATGCACAATGCTAATGAGAAGCACACCTATCCCGTGTTGCTAGATGCTGACTGGAGTTCTGAAAGAGTGTTAAAGGATGAAGAAGCACTCTGTTTGGATGCTACACACTATGGAAATGTTGCAAGATTCATTAATCACAGGTTATTTATCTATTGCCCATGTTTGTTCTGATAATCGTATAAATGTCTACTAATGGCTATTGTGAAGACATTATAGGTCTATTTGAAAGTAAGCTATTCTTATCCTCATGACATGGTGCAAAGACCATGATCAAATGAAGTTTTCTTCTGCAACCTTTCTTTCTCTCCTCCATGAATGTAGTATTATATCTGTTTATACATGGTATAGATTTTGATGGTTGGTCTCTGTCTTGCATTTTGTCTCTCAGTGTTCTGTGAACTATATTAATTTTCTTTTCTTCTCTATTGCCAACTGAAATTTACTCGTTTATATGTTCACTTGACTAGATGTTTTGATGCCAACTTGGTTGAGATACCTGTGGAAATAGAGACTCCAGATCATCACTACTACCATGTATGCATTTTATTAATTTCCCAGTAGAAGCACTTTTGACCTGTTAATCCATTATGCCGAGTCTTGATAAAACTGACATTCCTCGTCGTCTGGAATTTACTGCAGCTCGCCTTCTTTACAACTAGGAATGTTAATGCTATGGAAGAGTTATCTTGGGTAAACATACTATCTGTTATTAATGTTTTTTCATGTTACGAAGAGCATGGACAGTAAGGAATGTTCATATGATTACTTATATTTCTGTATCTTATGATTTAATGTGTGCTTGAATCGAACAATCTTCACTCTGAAACTTAACGCGCTCTTAATTCTTTTAGGACTATGGTATAGATTTTGGTGATCGCAGTCACCCTGTGAAGGCCTTCAAGTGCCATTGTGGTAGCAAACTATGCAGAGATGTGAAACGTAAGAAGAGTGAGTACTAACATGCACCCTGCTAACTACCCGTGTTGTATACATACATACCATATAATCTCGGGGTTTATGTTACCAATAATACCTTGTACAACCCAAAAAACAGACATAGTTGTACCCGATACAAAAGGCACCAATGTCGATCAGCATGGTAGACTTTCCGTTCAATATTTTGATTAATTAATATATGTTATTCTGTAATGCAGGAGGAAGAAGTAGATATTGATGATTCCCTAGTTCATGTTAATAGAGCAGATGAAAGCAGCAGCTATTGCCTCAGTTTAAGAATGTTTTTTTGCAGACATGGATGTGAACATTACTCCATTTGTAAAGGCTAAAAACACTAGGAAGCCTACTTTTGTTCCACAAGTATACTATATGACACAACAGTTTATCAGTCATTTTGTTGACCTAATCTTGGAAGTAGATGAAAGTGGTACATCTTCTAGATTATGAAATAGGAAGTCCCTATGGAATACATACATATATGTGGGTCTGAAGTCTTTAAAGCTTTAATACATTCTTTGAAGAGTATTCTGACCATTTTGTAAATGGAGAAAATATGGAATTTCCTCTCATGCAAGGAACCCAAGCTTCTCCCCATTCTTCTTCGCCAGTCGAATCAATCCTTGCCGCTGCTTTGAATCTGCTCCAATTGTCTTGCAGAACTCTGTGATCACCTGAAAATTTCAAAAGTTTACAAATTCAATTCCACTAAACACAGTTTATTCACTTTCTTAATTTGAGTCAGTTATAGACAACATAGGCTGATTGTCTTTTTCCGGCTAGGTCACACATCAGGTTACAAGTTCAATTTCCAGAAAGCGTGATCTATAGACTCTTAGTTTGAGTCGGTCAGTTATGAGTAACCTAAGCTAATTGCGTTTTACTGGCTAGAATTCAATACACACCATCGAATTGTGGCTACGGGTGAAGGGATAGTACCTGTGAGTGTAAAGCAATGGCTTTTCCTCTGAGCTGGTTGAACGTTTTCTTCCCAATGATGTTCCTTGCGACAACAACAAGAGGAGCAAAGATCCCTTTCCCTTCATTAACATTCTTCATCATAGGCTGCGCCCGGACCGGCCTTGACACACGGACAAACGCCGGCATTTTCCGGGCAAGCGCCGCGTAGTCTTCGCCGCCCACGGCAGCGGAGAACCCCCCTTTGAAGGCCGTGGCGGCACAGATGGAAGTGGCAGCCATGGAAGTAGCTAGCTAGCTTCTTCTTCTTCTTCTGGACCAAGCTTCTGGGCACTGTACGTTCTTGAATGAATGAATGAACGAACGATGAAGGGGGGATGTGATATTTCCTTAGATTTTGTGCTGTGGATTCTGTGGTGTAATTCTTGGAGCCACAACAATAGGCACAATAATAGCCACATAATCCTATGAACTTCAGATTCTCAATGCTCCACCTGGCTCCCAATCCCATTAAGTGAGTTTGGAGAAGTCTATGATAGATGTTCTTTTCATCATGTGGGGCCTCTTTGATTCTGGACCGTCTGATTCTCGCTGCTGCAACTATAGCCTTTGGATTTGAGCAGTGCTGGACGGTGGGAAATTCTTGAGGACTGCTTTGCTTTGACCATAATTGTGCTGTTGAGTTTTGTACACGTAAAACATAGGGGTGAGAAATTACCTCCATCACAAATGGCAAATGCATAAAACTTCCTACTTGTATCCCTCTATCATTACAATCACAAGACAAATTTCACTCAAAACGTATATTCAAATTACAAAAACAGTTGCAGTCTTTTTCCTAAATCAAAGAAATTAAAAAAAAAAACTAAGTCATCAACATCTATCTTGCATAACCATAGACTATAACTAAACTAATTAAAATTTTTGGTTATCGGTGGATTATTAGTTATGAAGTTAAACAAATATACAGTTGAGAGTTGGGCTATAAAATTAAAAATATTCTTTTCATACTTCTAAATATGATTATTAACTAAAAATCGATCGAAAGCGACTCTAACACGGGAATGTAAGTTTGCAACATAGAAGATTATCCTTCTTGATATAATCCTTTGTTATTTTCTTGGTCCGGGTACAAATGATTTTTGTCATTCTGGAAGAAAGTAATCATCTTTATAATACATAGTTTCTATCCACATAAAATGATGAATACAATTTTGTTTTGGATTCTTGGAAATGTAAGTGCCAACATTGAAGAATGAGATCAGATGATGTAATTAATATATATATAGTGCTAGCTAGTTGAGTTTCTCATATTTTGTGAGGGAGGAAAATGTGAGCCAACGGCGTCGAAACCGGCTAAACCAATGAATCTTTATTCTTGAACGCATTCTCTTCATCGTACTCACAACATCGTATCTTTGTCTGCAAACTTTGAGTTTTGAGAAGATCAGCACTCTCTTCCTGTGTTTATTACGTCCTGCATTACACTCATGCATGAGAGAAAATAATGATGCATGGTATCATGTTAAAATGGAAGCTTTTTTCATACCTTGAACACCCTTCTTGATCCTATCATCTTCTTGGATGCCTGTTTTCTGCAGAACCTGCAAGTTGCCACCCAAACATTTTCTAATCCTTAATGAACATGCTTGCTTTGCAGAGGTATATATAAAACCACTTACCAGATTGTCAGTTTTGTCTTTCATGGAATATATCTAAATGTTTGTGCAATTACCTCAACCAAATTCTGCATTCGTGTTCTCATTTTTCTCTGTATGAAGCCTCGGGTTGCCTTGACATGATACTTGACAAATGCATAAAAGTTTAGGAGGTTCCACACTGTCTTATCTAGTCTTTTGCCTTCAACATTTCGCGACGTTATATCTGCAAATAACAAAAAACCATAAAGATTCAGATGAGGCAACTGCAGAATAGCTAATTATGTATATCTTTGCTGTTTTGAGGTTGTGGATTTATGATGTTTCTTTGGATGACGAGGTAAACCAGCTTAAGTTGTCCTTAGCTGATCAACTCAAACCAAGAAATTTAATAAGTCGCTCCCACTGGGATTTGAACTTGTAACTTTATGGTTAGCAAGTTAACAGTCTGACTAATATGATGTTCGGTTTTATTGAGTGTATAGTATGAGTTTGTTTGTTGATACCGAAAGAAACAAACCCTCCATTTGTGCTCAAATCTTCAATTGCTTCTCCTCTTAGCTCGGGAGGGGGAATAGCAGACCAGGTACAATGGGGTGCCTTAGCACAGGCTTTTGTATTTGCTGCATCCATGAGTTCCTGCTCAAGAAACTCTTGATGATGCAATGAAATCGCGTGAAACTCTTGATTTGGATGTCATGAAAGTAATTATATTGGTTACCTGAAAGAATGATGTTGCTATAACCACATCTATTTTGTCTCTGAATCGCATTGGGAACACTGCAGTGATCTTCTCCGGCTGGCGAAAAAGTGGATATATGCAGAAGGAACCAGACATCAATCTCGGATTATCATTAAAAAAAACAAAAGCGTTTGAGGTTTCAGGATTACTGATTTTATGACATAGAAAGGCTCTCTTGGGTGGTAGACAAGCTTGATTGGTTTATACATCCCTTGAGACACATCTTGTGAGTTGACATTTACCAACATTTCTTTCAGCTGAGAGCTCAAAATCACTGCCTGAACCGACGAGATTGCTGTGATGGTTTTCATCGAGTCTGGGAAGCAATCGCGGTTAGTTCTTGTTAAATCAAACGCTTACCACTCTGCCAAAAGCTATAGATTCGACTTGAAAAACCTGAGAAAGTGAGGAGTTTAATTTCTAACCTTTCCCTTTTGGGATTCTGGTAAAATCTAGCCTTAAAGTGAGCTGGTATCCTGCATTTGGAGGATCAACAAAGTCCACGACGTTTGGACTAATGCCCTTTACCGTCTCCATAGTGTAGCGTGAGAGGCGGGATGTGAGTAGGAACGCTAGAGACAGGATTGGTGTTGATATTGATATGCAGACATAGTCCGGAGCTGATGCAGAATGCTGACAAACATCAAACAGACAGTGAAAATCTCACGAGAAAACTCGAAAGAAAGCTGGACTGTTATTGTTGATCAATCATACCTGAATATGGTATTCCACCGAGCCAAATTCGTGCAGATGATGATCGATCTCGATAGGCGTTTCTGCTCTGTTGTCTCAGTAACAGATAACAATGCAAAAGGTCAGTGTTCTTATTCTGCATATCAGAAGCAATGGATTATGCAGTTTTGCTAATCTCACCGATATATTTTTAGCAGAATCTCCTTCAGTGCGGGCGATGGCCTTTCAAAGCACGCCGCCATCCTCTCCCTCGATCTTCTGGTGCGCGTTAGAGGCCCCGGGATTGCATGCTGCAAGAAGGAAGGATTGAAGAAAAATGGGGAATTGTTAGTTTACTGTCAAAGTGTGATGGTTGAGGTAACACTTTAGAGTAAAATGCAAGTCCCATGTTGTAAATTGTAATCATGTTGAGCCAACTTCAAAGCAATCTAAATAGCCACCAAATTTTGTTCATTTCATGTGTCCTCACTACTTAGAATACTTGTATTCGGGGCTACCAGCCGAGTTGGTCGGACAGTTAACTTGGTAATTACAAGATTCCAAGTTTAATTCCGTGTACAATGGGAGCTGTTTATTGACCATCTCAGTTTGAGCTGTTCAGCTATGAACATTTCAGACCCTCCGTATGATCCTTTGTTGGCCAAAATTACAGAGTAGGTTTTAGCCAAAACGCAACTTCGTGCTTTCCTGTAAATCAAAGAATTCTTGTATTCAAAGAACAGCTAGCAAACATACAATGTATGTATCTGACATCCTTTGATATATACTATGATGGCATTACTAAGAGCTATGATTGGTCTTACTTTCTCTATAAGGAAATTGTATATATTGGCAGGCAAATCAATTTTGTCTTGTTGATTTTGTGGCAGTTAATGATGTGTCATTGGTGGTTAGTTGATGGTCGCATTTTATGATGACTTTTTGTTTGTTTGTCTTAATTATATATATTGCACCACATGAATGGATTTAATTATATTCTTTTTGTTCCATCGAGTCATATTTGCTAATAATTTATAACACAAATCAACATAGGATGTAAGACTGTAAGAGTTTGAGAGGGCAGTAACATTAGTTTAATTGTACGGAATTATAAAGATTTAGAATATTTAAAGTTTACAACATATGAAAAATTGCTATTTTAAACTATTCAAAATGATATCAAAGAGGAACGACTAAATAATAAGAAAATATTGAGATAACCATTTCAAGCTATTCAATTCACCCTTAAGAGAATTTTGAGTTGTAAATTTATAGGTTATTAATCTTCAAACTAGTCAAGTAGTCTATAGTTCAATGACATCTTTGTGATTTTTTTAAATGAGAGATCATATATTTAAGCTTCTTGGTTCAGATTTGGACGGAGAAGCTATGACTTATGTTTTTTTTTTTTTTTAAATATAATTATTTTTAAAAAAATATTAATCAACGTATGGTGTCCTGCGTTGGCCGGTTGGGGTAACATGTTATTATAGATCAAATGGTTTAATTATACTATTTTAACAAGTTTAAGGGTTTAATTAAAGGTTTTGATCCGATCACGAGGTGTTCTGAACATGTCCTAACTGTAGGAGGCACTCGTACCATACTCAGACTAACATGCTGGCCAGGCCAAATTGATTTTTTCATACCAGAAGGACCTAACAAGAGTGCACGATGACTCACAATAACCAAACTGGTTATTAGACTAATAATTTAGTACTAAAAAAAAAATCTCTAAAGCACAAATTATTGAAATCCAAAGCAGCAGCAATTCATCGAATTATCCGGAGAATCTGGCCATCAAAATCCTTCGCCAATCAATCAATCGCCACCATTAGTCCAAGGAAATCAGCACCGTTCATTCTTCGTCAATTCTTCACTCTCTGCCCCCGCCTCAAAATCGCCGGTCTTTGCTTTCCCAAACTCCTTCCCGACAGACAGAGGGGACATGGATTCAGATCAAGGAAAGCTTTTTATCGGTGGGATATCATGGGAGACGGACGAGGATAAGTTGAAGGATTACTTCCAGCATTACGGCGAGGTGATCCAGACTGTAGTGATGAGAGACAAGGTTTCCGGCAAGCCCAGAGGCTTTGGCTTTGTCGTCTTTGCAGATCCCACTGTTCTTGACAACGTTCTCCAGGATAGGCACACCATTGACGGCCGTACGGTGAGAATTTTTGCATACATGTGCTTTATTCTGCTCAAGTTTTGGTCTTTTTCTTGAATTGACTTCTGGGCATAAACGGATTCCTTGTTAGATAGATATAGAATGGTAGTTTTATTGTTTAGTTAAGTAATTACTGGGCTTCTTTTCAGCTTCAATGGTTATTTGTTCATATTTTTTCTTTTCAATTCTCTGATTGTCTTAGCTAATCAGGGTTATTGTAACTTGTAACTTGTAACTTGTAAGTGCTCTTTCCAATACTAAACTGCTAAATTGTATATAGCGTTTAAGTTAGATAGATACAGGCCACTGCTCTTGCATTATATTGTTTAAGGGGATCTTGAACTGCATTTTGAAACTGAATTTTTATACATATATATAGCCTATATGTGATGCATTTCTTACTGTTTGGTATTGCCTCAAATATGCAGCAAATGAGATGGATAAGTTCTTTATGTTGAAATTTGAGATAGTATAAGGTTCTAGTGAAAATGGCTATTTCTACTTGTGCCATGTGCTTTTTTTTTTTTTTTCCTATTGCATTGACCACAACCACATACTGAAATATAGGTTGAGGCGAAACGGGCGTTATCAAGAGAGGAACAACAGAGCTCAAAAGCTGGGAATGTTAATAGCGGCGGTGTTTCTGGTGGTGGTGGTGGTAGCAATAATAAGACCAAGAAAATATTTGTCGGGGGGTTGCCTCCTACCCTCACTGAGGATGAGTTCCGCCAGTATTTTGAAACTTATGGTAATGTGACAGATGTAGTTATTATGTATGATCAGCAGACGAACCGACCTCGAGGGTTTGGTTTTATTTCGTTCGATTCTGAAGATGCAGTGGACAGGGTTTTGCACAAGACCTTTCATGATCTAAACGACAAGCAAGTAGAGGTAAAACGTGCTTTTCCCAAAGATGCGAACCCTAACGCTAGTGGCCGCCAGGGGTATGGTGGTTCTGGTAACAGCCCTTATGGTAATAAAATGGATTCCAACAGGTACATGGCATCGCAAAACACTGGAGGAGGGTATCCCTCCTACGGTACACCTGGTTATGGATATCCACCTACCGGTGGCATGGGTTATGGTGGTTATGGAAGCTATGGCGGTGCCAATCCTGGTTATGGGAGTGCAAATACTGGGTATGGAGGCCTTTCCAGTTCTCCGTATGGAAATCCTAATGCTCCCAATAGTGGTGGCTATGGAAGTGGCCCAAGAAGCTCGTGGAGCTCTCAGAGTCCCTCTGGGTATGGGAATGTCGGCTATGGAAGTGCCCCCTGGGGTAATTCCAATGCCGCTTCTGGTGGCGGAGCTGCTGCGGGGGGTCAATCACTGACGGGAGTGGCGGGATATGGCAACCAAGGCTATGGTTATAGTGGGTTTGGTGGAAATGACGGGGCTTATGGAAATTCGTCTGCTTATGGGTCTATCGGACGTGTTGGTGGTGCTCCAAGAACAAGTTCACCGATTGGCGGTGGTGGTGCTACAGGAGAGTTACAATATGGCAATGCGGGTGGAAATTCTGGATATGGAAGTGCAGGCTGGAGACCCGATATACCACAAGCTTCTGGCAATTATGGCTCGAATGGATCCCATGGCGGCCAGGTTGGGTATGGAAGCGGCTATAGTGGTATCCCAGGGCGGCAATCTCAACAGCAGTAATCGCAATGTGCGACTCATTCTCGTCTTTGGAGTCTCTTCCCAGTTCCCGCCACTGATTTTGCAGTTTCACGTGCTGGGAGGATGAGGTTTTCAACGCATCATATATACCTGCTAAACGGGACTGGTTGGATTGCTTGAATCTATAGTTTTCAGTACTTGTTTGCTAGTCTAAGTAAAACTAGTTTCATCGAGGAAAAGTTTTCGTTTTGCTGCTCTTTATAATATTTGCAGGATTAGTTTCACTTTATTGTGCTTATAGCTATTTTACTAGATGAGCTTGTTGCATTGTTTCTCATTGTCTGCGAGATATATGAGTCTACTTTATGTCGAACTTCTATCTGCTTGATTCTGATGAGTCTTTTGGTAATGAATTTACGCTTTAGCAGTATTTAAGTATTTCGTTTTTTAACTGAATACATGGTAACCTTTCATGATATACAAGTCATAAAAGTGACCGAATTGTTCACTTGAAGGCGAAGAACGTGTTTTTGGTGCTGAGGTTTCTTTAAGATCGAGCACTGTTAACTGGGTTGCTTGACTTGCATTTCGCTAAAAGCAGTAGCGCTGAATCAGACCGAGCATCTCCGATTGAGCTTACCCCAATCACCATTAATGGTGTGTTAGTTGTTTATGGAATGTGGACTAATCCCCTTCATTCTGTTATGGTGTTGCTGAATTATTGTAGAATCATGCCCAAAATGCTCAATAATTTCTTTGGTACGGTTATGGGAAACTTGTATTAGTTAAGAGTAATGCTGGTTGCAAGAGCCTTAAATAGGTCTAGCGATCGCTCTTATCCTCCCAAGTTATGGAGTGTGAAGTTCGCACAGTCTTAGTTCAATGGTTCAGTATGCAGGGAAAAAAGACCAAGGATTGAATTTCGGCGGCGGTAGTGTGAAGATTATGCTTAAAGTGGGTAGACCCCTTGTGTATATCGACATTTGGCCACGTTTGCTGAGCTATTGAATTGTTATGATTTCCATCTTTCTAAATACTCCGTCGGATTAGGGTGTGGGGACTCTTGAGATTGGGAATTCAATCTTTTGGGAGAAGTTATGAAGAGGGGAATCATTTTTCCTTAATTAATTTGATTACCTCTTTCTAGAACGGCTAAAAGAGTAGCCTAAAATTATTCCCGTCATCGATCAATATGAGACATAAATTGGCTTGTTTAGGGGAAACCTAAACAAATATTGGAAACCTTTTTGATTTAGGGGAAAATTTGGTGTCGCTATCTGAAAATGTACTTTTAGGGACCAGAAAGAGGCCATGTTAAACTTAGGGGGTGTTTGGTTTACGGAATGTTAGATTACGCTAGGTAATGTTAGATTGTTGGGAATATTTTTGTGTTTGGTTTAAAACTGAGGTATATAAATAAGACATCGATAATAAGACAAATTAATTAAAATGTCAAAAGTAAAAAATTAGTAATAAGACAAGAGAAGGTGAGCATACCTAAGAAATTGGAGGGTACCTCATATTCCCTTTCAATAGCTAAAAACTTTATGTAGAGGTTACGTGACATTCTTAGAAAAAATCACATAACCTGAACTATAATCTTAGTTATCTTATATAACTTGACCCAAGCAAATATAATGTTAGTTATCTTATATAACTTGACTCGCTTAAAACTTTATAGTTACCAAGCCAACAACCCGATCAATTTGACTGGTTACCCTCATATTGGAAACACTCCAACAATGCCAAAAAAAGTGAACTTAACAATTATGGTTGTGATGCTATTTAATTTACTCAAAGAGAAAATGATGAAAATTGATTTTATATATATATAGATCTTAAAAATAAAGGTGTGTATAATATCTTTACAACGTAGTCTTCTATCAAATATTTTCATGTGGGGTCAAAAAAGTCACCTCTAAAACTTAATCTCATGGACTAATTATCAACTTAATTTAGGTGTCTGGCTGGTAAGATTTTAATTACGACCACCATTGCCTTATCGTTTTCTTCGCAAAAAAACAATAGCCTTTGCCTTTCGCCAACTTCTCTTCATTTCAATCTTTTTCCCTCCCTTTCTATTCCCTAATTTTTTGTCTTCAAGAAAAAGAAAAAATAAAAAATAAAAAACAACCCAAAAAAAAGAAGAAGATATATATTATGCTCGCCGGTTTCTCTGTCCTGTCTCTTCCGCCGGATATCTGACGACCACCTCTCTCCGCCGGAGTCAACATGGCGCCCTCTAAACCCATGGTCAACGCTATCCGAATTAGCACCACTATCGAAGCCAAACGACCCGCCGACCACCGGGATGATGATGAGGGCTTCCCCGAGAGCCCCCGCGACCAGGAATGGCCGTTCGGGAAGCTGGAAGGCCTGGACGCCGCCGATTTCCGCGAGGCCGCGTACGAGATATTTTTCACGGCGTGCCGGTCTTCGCCGGGGTTCGGTGGCCGGACGGCGTTATCGTATTACAATCCGACCGAAGGAGGGGGAGATGGAAGCGGGTTCGGGGCGGGGCAGGATTATGGAACCGGGTCACCGAGGAAGGGGCAAGGCGGCGTGGGCATGGCCGTGACCAGCCGCGTGAAGCGGGCGCTGGGGCTGAAGATGATGCGGCGGTCGCCGTCCCGCAGAGCCAGCTCCTGCGGGTCGCTGCCGACGTCGCCCAGCGGCGCCTCCGGCGGGTCCCCTAAGATGAACTTTACCGCCGTGCCGTCGAAGGGGAGGCGGCCGATGACCTCGGCTGAAATCATGAGACGGCAAATGAAAGTGACAGAGCAGAGCGATAATAGGCTACGTAAAACTCTCATGCGGACTCTTGTTGGCCAAGTACGTAACTAACCTAGCTTCCATTTTTTTTTTTTTTAATAATTATAATTTTAAACTAATGCTAGTAACATTCTCCGCAATTAAGATTTGAACATAAAATTAGAATTTATGAATTATTGAAAAAAATTTATTTTTCGTCTCTAAGTTATAAAGTAATTGTAGAATTGGTCTCTATTTTTTGGTTGTGCTGACTTCTCATCCTTAAGTAATAACTAACATTGCAAATTTCGTCATTTTTCTAACCAGTCGTGCTCATTTTTCGTTCTTAAGTTTTAATTGCTGTTGCAAATTTTGTTCATAATGTTTTATTAGAAAAAAAAAGGACAAAATTTACAACATCAATTATAACTTAGGGACGAAATGTGAGTACGACCAACGAATAAAAACAAATCTTGCAATTATCTTATAATTTAAAGAATGAAAAATACATTTTTTTCAGAATTACTTGTGTAGGTTTGAATTTCTTTACGGTAGTTGAATTCTGAATAATTAAAAAAACACTATAAACATATAATTCAAGAGAAAAATGTGTCATTTTCTCCACATAATAATGATATTATCATTCATAAAATCTATTTTTTTCTCTTCTTCTTCTCCGGCAGATGGGCAGGCGAGCAGAGACAATTATCCTTCCACTAGAGCTTGTGCGCCACCTGAAACCATCGGAATTCACCGATCCTAACGAGTACCATTTCTGGCAGAAGCGGCAGCTGAAGATTCTGGAGGCGGGGCTGCTCCGCCACCCCGCCGTCCCACTCGACAAATCCAACACCTTCGCCCAGAGCTTCAAGGACATCATCGAGGCCGCCGAGGAAAAGCCCATCGACACCGGAAAGAACTCCGAGTCCATGAGAAACCTCGTCAACTCCGTGGTTTCCCTCTCCTGGAGAAGCACCGACGGCATGGCCACCGATATCTGCCACTGGGCCGACGGCTTTCCCCTCAACGTCCACATCTACATGGCGCTTCTCTGCTCCATCTTCGACATGAAAGACGAAACCTTAGTCCTCGACGAGATCGACGAGTTACTAGAATTAATGAAAAAAACATGGGCGACCTTAGGGATGAACAGATCGATCCATAATCTGTGTTTCACCTGGGTGCTTTTCGAGCAGTATTTCATTACCGGCCAAATTGAGCCGGATCTTTTCTGCGCGTCGCTGGCCATGTTAGCGGAAGTTGCGAATGACGCCAAGAAAGCCGACAGGGAACCTATTTATGTCCAGATGTTGGGGGATGTTTTGACCTCCATGAAACAGTGGTCGGAGAAGAGGTTGCTTGATTACCATAGGAATTTCGACAAGGGAAATGTTGCTTTGATGGAGAATATTCTTCCCTTGGTTTTCTTGGCCACCAAGATTCTGGAAGAGGATGTTCCAGGCTATGCAACCATTGTTGAAGCTGGGAAGGAGGGCGTTCCTGATCCCACTGCAGGGAATCGAGTTGATCACTGTATCCGTTCATCCATGAGAAATGCATTTGCAAAGGTATACTTTAGCATATATAGCTTCTAACTATACTGTTTTGAATCACAAGAGAAACCCGTAGTCATTATATGATGGTATATATACATCGGATAAATTTGCTTTGCGATCAATAAAGGGCCACAATGGGTAAACCGATCTAGGTTACTCATAGCTGTAGGAGGCTCCCGTTAGAAGCTGAACTTGTAATATTGTGATTACCAAGTCAATAGTCTGCCTATATAACTTATTTTTAGGCTTGTTAAACAGAGCCTAGGTTTGATTCTTTCCCTCTTCTAAGTGCTTCAATCACTAAATCTTGTATGACTTTGATCTAAAAAAGTCCCACCCATTATACACCGCTAAACCAGCTTAAGTTGCCCCTGATGGGCACTGGGTAACCGACACAACACAAACTAAGATGGCCAATATGCTGCTCCTATTAGATGCAGTCAACAGTCTGACCAACTTGTTGTGGTTGCCTAATAGAGCTTATAACTTATTTTTAGCCTTGTGGAAGAGAGCCTATGTTTGATTCTTTGCCTCTTCTATGTGCTTCAATCACTAAATCTTGAATGACTTTGATATGAAAAACAGATGTTGGAGGAGAAGAACATAAACGGGGCGATGTTCGAGACGCAAGAAATGAGTGAAACACTGATCAAATTAGCAGATGCAACGGAGGAATTGGCGGCCAAGGAGAAGGAGATTTTCAGTTCTGCACTGAAGAAATGGCACCCCATTGCTGCCGGAGTTGCAGCTGTGACACTGCACAACTGCTACGGGAATCTGCTGAAGCAGTACATGGGAGGCGCAAGCACAATGGCTAAGGAGACAGTTCAAGTTTTGCAGAAAGCAGGGAAGTTAGAGAAGGTGTTGGTTCAAATGGTGGTTGAAGACTCGGTTGAATGCGAGGATGGAGGGAAGGCAATTGTCAGAGAAATGGTTCCTTATGAAGTTGATGCCATCTTTGTAGGCCAAGTTCGACAGTGGATTCAGGAGAAAGTGAAGATATGGAAGGAGAATTTGCAGAGAGCAAAGGACAGTGAGGTATGAGCACTTACCTGCACGTCATTAAATAGTGGCTCTGATACCAAATTGAAACATGTGAAAGTCTAAACTGTTAGATTGCACATTAATGGTTATATGTTCAACAGATTTCTCTTTATCATCCAAAATTAACTTTTCTTTGTTTTCAACTACAGACCTGGAACCCAAAGTCAAAGACCGAACCATATGCACTAACTGCTGTAGAGCTAATGAAGCAAGCCAAAGAAGCTGTGGAGAATTTCTTTGAACTTCCAGTTAACATCAATGATGATTTAGTCAACTGTCTTGCAGATGGCCTCGAGCAGGTCTTCCGTGACTACATCAGCTTTGTTGCATTATGTGGTACGTTTTCTTTATTCTCCAACCAAGTTGATTAGGTTAAATTCGACTTCCACGGACAACTTAAATTTGGTTTTCAAGCCAAATTGGTCAGGTTAAGTTTGAGCCATTCGAACTGGTCAACTATAGGTAACATAGACTGGTTTTTCCAGCCAAATTGATTAGGCTGAGTTCACTTCAAGTTAGACCGGCCTTTCTTGATTTGAACTGGTCAACTATAGGTAACATATGCTGGTTTTTCCAGCCAAATTGATCAGGCTGAGTTCACTTCAAGTTAGAGGGGCCTTTCTTGATTTGAGCTGGTAACTACGGACAACTTAGGTTTGTTTCCCAGAAAAGTTAGTCATCTATGTTCGACTCGCAATTGAATTAGCTTACTGATCTTAGTTTTTTTATTTGAGTTGGTTAGTTATGACCAACTTAAATTGGTTTACCTTCATTGTGATCATTTGCGAGTTAGATTCAGGATTAACTTAGTGCACACTTTCAGGATCGAAACAAAACTATATCCCCACCCTCCCTCCACTAACAAGATGCAGCCAAGACTCGAGGTTTTTCAGGCTGTGGAAGAAGGGTGCATGCAGCGTCGGAGTCTACAGCGAGCACCATTTCATAAGCGACGGCAGCCATGTCCGCCCCTCCACCAGCCGCGGAACGCAGCGCCTCTACATCCGCCTCAACACCCTCCACTTCCTCCTCCTCCAGCTCCACTCCATCGACAAAGCCTTGGCGCTCGGCCCAAGAACCGTCCAAACAACCACGCGCAACCGCCACGCCAGGAGCAGCACCACCACCGTCACCGGCACCGTCTCCTACTTCGAGCAATCCCGCTCCGCCATCCTCACCGGCGTCCAGCACGTCTCCGAGGCCTCTGCCTACCGCCTCATCTTCCTCGACTCCAACTCCGTCCTCTACGGCAGCCTCTACGTCGGGGACGTCGAGAACGCGCGCATTCACCCCGCCCTGAAAATCCTCAAGCAGAACCTCACGCTCCTCTGCGCAATCGTCACCGAACGCGCGCAACCCATGGCGATCAAAGAAGTCATGAAGGCCACTTTCGAGGCGTATCTCATGGTCCTCCTAGCAGGCGGTAAGCATCTAATCCATGTACAATAGTCTATCTAAGTATGAAACAAACTCATATTTCTAATTTCTATATGAAATAAACTCATATTTCTGATCTCTATATGAGACAAACTCAACAGGTAGCTCGAGGGTGTTTTGCCGCTCTGATCACCAGATGATCGAGGAAGACTTCGACATCCTGAAGAAGATGTTCTGCTCCTGCGGCGGCGGCGGCGAAGGAACGATAGTGGAAGACGTGGTGGACCGGGAGGCGGAGACGGTGGAAGGAGTGCTTACATTGATGAGCCAGTCGACGGAACAACTGATTGAAGATTTCAGCACTGTGGCCTGCGAAACCAGCGGAATGGGCGTCGTCGGCGCCGGCCAGAAGCTGCCGATGCCGCCCACCACCGGAAAATGGCACAAATCTGACCCCAATACAATCTTGAGAGTACTTTGTTACAGAAACGATAAAGCTGCTAATTTTTTCTTGAAGAAGAGTTTCCACTTAGCAAAGAGGAGGGGATGAAATATTGATCATCAGTAAAAATAGTTTAATATATTAACAAAATTAGAACAAAAAAAACAAAAAAAACAAGAAAAACAACTTCAAAAAACATGCATTTCATATAAGATTTCAGGTGATTCCTGTCTGACCAGGATGTAAGGTCCGGGATAAGGGAATTTCATGTTTTGTGAGCAAGACTTCAGATGATTGATGATAATTTTCTGAGATGTATCATCAAAACATTTTGTGTTTGAGAGAGCATTGTACTGATATAATTTTTGTCTTCCTTTTGTCATAGAGGTAGGCATTATTAGCAGAATGATAATAAAAAAGCATTTGTATGTTGTCAGTTTTTTGCGTATAATTGCTTAGATGATTTCTTTAATTTAATTGACATTTGTTGCATAATATGATGGATAACAAAATTGATCATTGATATATAAAAACAACATTATTTATTAATAGATAGGATTGATGAATCAACAAATCTCGTACACCAGAGCACATTTAACATTAGTGATAAACTTTATCGAATTATCTATGAAAGGTCGACTTATTATCCAGTGTAGACTCCAATAGAATCAAGATAAATCCCAGAACTTCCATGGAGTCCTACTATCTTACCACCGTCTTCTAGTATGCATGAAAATGAATCTCCACCCTCGCAGCTGCCGATAGGACCATGCTGAGTTGTGTTGGTGTAGAACTTGATTGATGTTATCACAATTAAACCATTAATAACACCATAGGTTCCACTTATGCCTGTTAAGTACTCCATTGGAGCATCAATATCCACCTATATTATGCAAAGAAAATAAGGCAATAGTAGAATTAGAGTGATCATTAGCAAAATAGTATTTTTATTGCCTTACAAATGCAAAAAAAAAAAAAAAAAAAAAAAAAAAAAAAAAATGAACCCTGAAATCCCCTTCTTAGGGTATTTATACACACGCCAGCATGAGCAACTCAATTGATTATATTCCTAATTAGTAGTAGATTATGAGCAAAGATATATGAACTAGTCCTAATATCAGCATTGCGGAGTTACATCCAATGTGATGAGTTCCTATGTGGGTACCAGATCTTCCCACCTAATGGGTCGCCCTGATTCATCCTGCACTATCATGTCGGGAGTATTGGAATGAAAATTTCACTTTTTGCTGACAAAAGTATTTATACACACCCAACCTGCATGGACAACTTGTCACAGAGGTGAAGTTTAATAACCGAAATCGAGTCTCAATAAAAACAGTGTCATCCCAGTGACCACCACTTGGTCCGAGCCCGAGCACCGATCCGAGTACCCTAACCCATGACCCAGAGTGATTAATTTGGTTAAAAAGATGAAATTGACTTACTTGGACGATTGTATTGCCGCCGCCGCCGCCAAATTTGGCGGGAACCTCCGAGTTACCGTCCGGCTTGACGGCTGTTAACGTTATAGAGTCAATGGTTAGCCCATGAACAATAACAATCTGTTTCAAACTCCCTTTATAATCCCATTTCTGTCCTCCCGGACCTCCCCACGCCGCCACTTTTATTTCTTTAGAGAGTTGAACCGCCGCAGGCGGCGGAACTTCTGCTACGTACGACGACGATGAACTTGCAACGCGAGCGGTGACGACAAAAGGGTGCAGTTTTTCTCTAAGGGCGGCGAGTTTTTTGGTGAGCTTTTCAATCCCCAGAATCTTGACGGCTGGGCTAACCAAACCGGAGTGGAGATTTTGAGCATAAAGTGCGAGGCGCTCGATCGCCGGCGACCAGACGTCGGCCCTTGCACGCCCTTCCGGCGTCCGTTCGCCGTCGACCAGAAAACACTGCATCCATGTTAGCTCTATCACCAGGTCCTCCACACGTTCGTCAACCTCGCACGGCGGTGATCGGGAAATCTCGTCGTTGAACTTCGACAGTGCCGCGGAAACAGCGGGAATGGCCATTGATGTTGTCTGAAACAACTTTAATTTGGTATGCGGACTATAAATTAGAAAATGGTTCGATTTTATAGAGTTGGTGGAGTAGATCAATTTATTATTATTATTTTTGTTTAAATTTTATACTCGTAAGAAAAATTGAATTCTGACAAATTCTTATCTGACCAGGACCAAGTACAAGGTAAACAAAGACAGCTGCAGGCCGGAGAAAAATTCTTAAGTGGTGGCAATAAACATTGTTACTTAATTACTCTTGACTACGTAAATGCTTTGTTAAAGAAAAATAAGACAGAAAGATATGATTTTATAAAGTTATGAGTTAAATTAGTTAATTAATTAGATTTAGGTTTTCAAAAAAAAAAAACAAATTAATTAGATTTAATAGGTTAGTATTGAGGTAGTAAATAAGTAAATACGGGGTTCTACTATTTTGTATAGTATTACGGTTCCGGATACAGTCCCCTACCTAATCTGTTTGTTGGTTTAAGTCTTTGAGCTCGAATGATTTGACAGTGGATCAAAGATTCCTGAGCTGAAGATTAGTGTATAAAACTAGTCTCTCCTCCCCGCAATTAATGCGGTATTTATAAGGAGAGGGAGGGGACACTCGCCGGTTTCTCGGCAAGCGTGACACATCTGAATTGAGAACCCAATTTTAAATTCTAACAAACTTAAACATAAACTCCAATCGCGTCAACACATTGATGATGACCAAAGCGGCCACGGAATCCCATCATCTTTCCAACATCACTGAATTGAGATAGAATCATTTTGATGCAGTGTAGATTCCAATGGAATTAAGAAAAATCCCAGAACTCCCATGGAGTCCTATTATCTTACCGTCTTCTAGTATGCATGAAAATGAATCTCCACTCTTGCAGCTGCCCAAAGGTCCATGGTGAGTTCTGTTGGTGTGAAATTTGAGCGATTTTATCACAATTAAACCATTATATATATATATATATATATATATATATATATATATATATATATATATATATATATATATATATATATATATATTGGAGTACTACTAACTCCAACATTATTTATTTATTTATTAAAAGACAAATTATAAAAACAACATTTTTTTATTATTAATATGAGCATACAAGGTTGACGAATCAACAAATCTCATACATCAAAAGGACATTTGACAAACATAAAACAAGCAACACTTGATACAACATTATTCAAACCATTTGGAACTTATTCAACAACCAACACATAGACGTGTTCCAATGGATCATTAAGCTTGAGAGTGACAATATAATCACTTAGGCACTGTAAATACCAATAGCATCAACATAGAATCCAGCTCGACCAATGAATCCAACGATCTTTTGTCCATTCGGAGCCTGGAAGTTGAATGGCGTTCCAACATTAGGGCCGTACGGCCCAAACTCTCTTACGTTGGTAGTAAACTTTATCGATCGTAAGACATTGTATGTCCTATCTATAAAAGGTCCAAACGTTCCGCTTATTTCGGTCAAGTATTCATTCGCGTCATCAATAAACACCTATTTATACATGTCATAGATCAAGAAAAAGTTAAACTCTATATATATTTGTACTTAGTAAGAAGGAAAACAACTTTAATTTGAACATATATATCACAAATAATAAATTAAATGAAAATGTATAAATTAAATGTATAACCGTGTCAGTACGGGTGACCATGGTATCTGTTCCACCTCCACCTACTGTGATCGTTTCCTTTGAACCATCATCTTTAATGCAAGAAAAAGTTATACCAATAGGATTGTTATTCCCTGACCCGCCAGAAAGAATAACAATTTGATTGATCTTGTTAACCGGTCGAAAACTCCAAAAATTTCCACCGTAATTTCCCAATGGACCAGATACGGTATCTGTAGGAACTGCCATGGTTTCTTGGATGATAATTGAAAAGCAAAAGGAAGGGATGAAAATAAGCAAGTTTTGTTTGATATGGTGTGCAAACTAGGAAGAGTTGGGGTCCCTTTTATAGGGAATGAAGCTAAGTGGGAACATGCATGGAATAGAAAAATCTGTGATATCAAATGCTTATAAGTACTATACCACTGCACCAAAAGTTATAACTACGAATAAAGATGTATATTTATTTCTTTACTTATGTAGTAGTTAGCGTTACGTTTGGATGACATTATGTTGGACTCAACTCTCTGAACTGATCGTCAACCATTCTAAACTATTTATCTACCCAAATAAAAGAATTAGATCAATTATTATTTTTTATCTGAGAGCATGTTCTCATCTGAACCGATTGCACCAATTCTTTATTTTCATAAGTCATACTAGTTTGTTAAGGATTTTATGGGCAACTTCTGGTCGTCTGCAACTTGCATCACGTATTTGTAATAATAATAATTTTTAGTATTTGAAGTGAATAATTAAAAGCAGACAATGACAAATTGGTTGTTGTTAGGACATTTAAAAATATTGTAAGTCTTTGTTAATGATTATTTATGTCAATATGTTTGTTATGTTTTTGATAATGTAAAATATAATTGTAAATTACTCATTTCTTTATTTATTCCCAACGGCCACAACTATCGAAACTTCAACGTTTTTCGAGTTCTTAAAATTATCATATTCTCATTTAAACCAGTTTAATTTCTTCCAATTCTAAATTATATATATATATATATATATATATATATATATATATATATATATATATATATATACCCGAAAGAAATTAGACCCAACTAGCAGTCGAACCCCGAGATTGAGCCTGGCTGACCCGGACATGGCCGAGTCCAGCATCGGTCGAGCCCAACCAGCCCAGTGCTCGGCCACATAGGTCGAGCTCTGTGCTCGGCTAGGTGCTGGCCTGGGTCTTCGGTAAGTGCGGTTTGTGTGACGTGATAATGTAAATAATGTCTAACTTTAAAGTGTAAGCAAATAAGTTATGTTTAAATAAGTAAGTAGAAAATATAGAAGATAGTGATAAGTAAAATAATATGATAATGAATGTAATCATAGTAATGTGGTTATTATAGTGACATATAACTAAATAAATAATAGATGATTAACAGTTTCTAAGAGTGAGAAAAATTGAGAAATTATTTGTGCTAGTAAAAATGTTTTCTGTTTTCTATTTTGCAGTTTCAGAAATTTCCAATTAATTAACTGCCCTTAGAAGTTTCCTATCCCGCCACTCTAAACATTTTTTTATTAGTACTACTAACTCTGAACATTATTTATTTATTTATTAAAAAACAAATTATAAATACTAACATTTTTTATTATTATTAATATGAGCACACAAGGTTGACGACTCTCAACAAATATCATCATACATTAAAGGACATTTGACAAACATAAAACAAGCAACACTTAATACAACGTTATTCAAACCATTTGGAACTTATTCAACAACCAACACATAGACGTGTTCCAATGGAGCATTAAGCTTGAGAGTGACGATGTAATCACTTAAGCACTGTAAATACCAATAGCATCAACATAGAATCCAGCTCGACCAATGAATCCAACAATCTTTTTGCCATCAGGAGCTTGGAAGTGGAATGGCGATCCAACATTAGGGCCGTACGGTCCGAACTCTCTTACATTAGTTGTAAACTTTATCGATCGTAAGACACTGTACGAATCATCTACGAAAGGTCCAAATGTTCCGCATATTTCGGTCAAGTATTCATCCGCGTCATCATCAATAATCACCTATTTATACATGTCATGGATCAAGAAAAAGTTAAACTCTATATATATTTATACTTAGTAAGAAGGAAAACAACTTTGAACAGATATATCACAAACAATAAATTAAATGAAAATGTACAAATTAAATGTATAACCGTGTCAGTACGGGTGACTAAAGTATCTGTTCCACCTCCACCTACTGTGATCGTTTCCTTTGAATCATCTTCGTTAATGCAAGAAAAAGTTATACCAATAGGGTTGTTATTTCCTGACCCACCAGAACGAATAACAATTTGATTGATCTTGTTAGTTGGTCGGAAACTCCAAAAATCTCCACCGGAATTTCCCAATGGACCAGATACGGCATCTATAGGAACTGCCATGGTTTCTTAATTGGATGATAATTTTAAAGCAAAAGGAATAGATGAAAGTGAGCAAGTTTTGTTTGATTTGGTGGGCAAACTAGGAAGAGTTGGGGTCCCTTTTATAAATCGCACCAATTCTTTATTTGCATGTCATACTAGTTGGTTAAGAATTTTAAGTATATGGGCAACTTCTAGTCACGTTGTCTGCACCTGCAACTTGCATCACGTATTTGTATTAATAACAATTTTTAGTATTTGAAGAATTGAAGTGAATAATTAAAGCCAACTACCATATATATACTGTGATGACATCCTGTTTACCGTTCTAATTAGAAAATATAAAACAAATACTACTTTATAAAAAATCATGAATAATTAAAAAGAAGATGATGACAAAATGATAGTTGTTGGGACATTTAAAAATATTGTAAGTCTTTGTTAATGATTATTTATGTCAATATGTTTGTTACTCCGTATGTTTGTGATAATGTAAAATATAATTGTAAATTAATCAATTCTTTATTTATTCCCAACAACGGCCACAACCCTAGAAATTATCATATTCTCATTTAAACCAGTTTCTTCCCTTTGAAACGTTTATCACTTGGGCATTGATTCAATGATTCTTAATTATTTGATTGTACCTTTATATACCTAAGAACAAATATAAAAATAACGCTATGTATTGGTAAGTATGAACGAGAGTTGACGAATCAACAAATCTCATATGTCATACCACGTACATTTGACAAACATAAAACAAACAACAATTAATACAACATTATTTAAACCATTTGGAACTTATTCAACATATAATACATAGAGGTGTTCCAATGGAGCATTAAGCATGAGAGTGATATAATTAATTACGTGCAATATAAGCACCAATAGCAACTGATGGGGATATTGAGCATGGGCTGAAGATTTATTGGGCTGACGTTGTTGGGGCGAATGCAATCGTTATATCCTACACCACGGCGCACATAGCACTGTGCGCCGCGCGCCTCCCAAAACGACGTCGTTTTGGGGTCGTGTTGGGAGGCGCGGTAGGAAGTTGCTGAGATTATGTGTATTCGTTCACAACGTTATGTGTATTGGTTCATACAGTTATGTGTATTTTTTATACAATTATGTACATTGTTTTTATACAATTATGTACATCCGAATCGGAAAATTTGTGTGTATTATGTTAAGAGTTGATGTGTATTATGTTAAAAGTTTATGTTTATTATGTATTATGTTAGATTATGTGTATTATCTTTTAAAAAGAGTATGTATATTTTGTTATAACATTATGTGTATTCATGTATAACATTATGTGTATTCAAGTATAACATTATGTACATTCTTGAACAGCGGGTTTTTTTTTTTTAAAGAAAAGCCTACTGCCATTCACTGGGGCGGGAAATTTCAAAAAAAAAAAAAAAATTAAAACGACGTCGTTTTGCATCTGGGCGCATAGTGCAATGTACGCCGTGGTGTAGGATATAAATTGCCGGGCGAATGGGTCCATGGGGTTTTGGTCGGGGCACGACGGCGTGAGGTAGGGGGTGGCCGGAAAAGATCACCGGTTGGGGCGCTGGCGCCCATGGCCAGAGGAAGTCGCCGGCTGGGGCGCTGGCCCCCGTCGGCGATGGCGCGCTCGGTGCGCGGGCCTAGCGCCACCATCGCGGGGGGCGTGGCGGCGTGCGGTCTCCGGCGCCGGGCGGGTAGGCTGCCCGGGGTGCGTGGGGTACGTGGGAGAAGTTGCGGGGGTGTCGGAGGCGTGGTGAACGTGCGAACTGGTGTGCGAAAAAGGGGGAGTGGTGTCTGAGTACATGGGTGTCAGGAGAGGGAAGGGGACAGACTATAAATCGAGGCCCTGGATTCCTAGCAAGGGGCAACACACAGACACGACTAACACTACGGTTCAGTGGTATGTCTTGATCACATACTCTCAACCCTTATACCTGGGTTCGATTCCTATCAGTAGTAATAGCCCACCCTTTGGGCCGCCATTCTGGGCTTTGTACGCATTATTTTAGGCTTCGCGCTCCGGGTAATAAAGTTACTCTTTCCTGCTCCCATTCTGTAGTTCTATGCCCGGTTTATGGTGGACTCGGTTCCAATAAAATCATCAGCATCAATATAGTATCCAGAGCGACCGAGGAATCCAACGATCTTGTACCCACTTGGAATGTTGGAGGTCTTGTACCCACTTGGAATGTTGGAGGTGAATGGAGTTTCATCAATGGTGCTGGCACTGACTATTTTACAAGTATAAAGAAATAAAGTTGCGCCTTCGCTATTAGCTATTATATTATTACTATGGTACAGTTGTAAACACTTGATCCTTACAATTAGTATCACATGCTATGCAGTTGATCTTACATCTTCATTTTTATAGGTGTGATCTTATATTTCTTTTATTTTTATATCATTTTTACAACAAAAACTATTGATAGATCAAGTCACATCCTATACTAAAGAACAAAATATAAAAAAAATGATATTTATTAATATGTACTAGATAGTTTTTCACGCACATTACACGAATAAGATAATACCAATGTTTATTTTAAAATAAGTACCTTAAAGTATATCAATGCAAGATTATACGTCATACCACATTTGACAAACATAAAACAAGCAACACTTAATACATGACATTTGACAAACATAAAACAAGCAACACTTAATACAACATTATTCAAATTAAACCATTTGGAAGTTATTTAGCCGAGGACAACACATAGAGGTGTTCCAATGGAGCATTAATTAAGCTTGAGAGTGACAATATAATCAATAAGGTGCACTATAAATACCAATAGCATCAACATAGATTCCAGCTCGACCAATGAATCCAGAAATCTTGGTGCCATCCGGGGGCTGAAAGCTGAATGGTGTTCCAACATCGGGGCCATACGGTCCAAACACTCTTACATTGGTAGTAAACTTTATCGATCGTAAGACACTGTACGAACTATCTATGAAAGGTCCAAACGTTCCGCTTACCTCAGTCAAGTATTCATCCGTGCCGTCAATAACCACCTATTTATACATGTCATGAATCAAGAAAAAGTTAACTCTATATATATTTATACTCCGTATTTGGTAAGAAGGAAAAAAAAAACGTTGGACAGATATATCACAAACAATAAATTAAATGAAGATGTAAAAAATTAAGTGTATAACCGTGTCAGTACGAGTGACAATGGTATCTGTTCCACCTCCACCTACTGTGATTGTTTCCTTTGAACCGTCATTTTTAATGCAAGAAAAAGTTATACCAATAGGGTTGTTATTTCCAGACCCGCCAAAAAGAATAACAATTTTATTGATCTTGTTAGTTGGTCGGAAACTCCAAAAATCTCCCCCAGAATTTCCCAAAGGACCAGATACCACATCTGTAGGAATTGCCATGGGTTCTTGGATGATAATTGAAAAGCAAAAGGAAGATTATTAAAAAGGAGAAAGTTTGGTTTGATTTGGTGTACAGACTAGTAAGTCTGGGAGGTCCCTTTTATAGGAGAATGAAGCTAAGAGTGGGAGGTCACTTTTATCCACGTGCATGCTGGGAACAAAGACTGTGTGAAAACAATTAATTATATATAATTTCAACGTAACGTTACACTTGACGTAATCGTCAATTAAGCTGAAGGCGCACATGTCCATTTATTATACACTTGTAATCTAATGGCACTAAAGTTGGATTCCCATATGGGAGATTGTTGGTTCGAACATCAGTGCAGTATTGACTCTTTGTGCTTCAGTAGGTGAGTCAGTAGCATTCAAAAAAAATCTAATAACAACTAATAAAATTATTTTGTCTACTTTACCCCTATTATATCATTTTTTTTTTTTAAATACCCTCACATTATGTCAGTATAAATTTTAATATGAAAATATTTTGTTAACTATTTATTATTATTCTTAATTTACTCATTGATTTTTCTAAGGAAAGTTTTATGTTCGAACCTATCCCACTCAAAGTGGAAATAATTGTTGAACAAATACTATGAATATGTTAGAGTGTCTTAAAAAAATACAATTATATAAAATTTAACATGAACTGTGATGAATTAATTAGCCATCATATATACATAGCATTCTAATAAGCCACAAATTTACTTACAATTGTGCTCTATACATTCTTATTATTGATTAAATCTTTGGGTAATGATTGTATAAAGAGTGGCTTTTTGGTGTGCTTTTTATGGTAGGAAAGATGGATTGGCATACACAAGCTTGAAAAGTGAACAATTCTGGAAGATATCAATGCAAAACGGAGGCTCCAGAGCATGACATAGAGCAAGGGGAGCGAAGACATACAGAGTCCAAAGTGCCATCTGATTGGAGGCCGGTGGTCACGATAGAGTTCACGCCGTGAACTCCACTGTGACCACGCTGAGCAGCTCGCAGTAATTGGGCGTCATGTTAATGGTCACGCGTGTAACCATTAGCTGAATTCCTATGTTCGATCTGCAGGTTACTGGGCAACATTACGGTCAAATTCACGGCGTGTGATCATGAAATTAGTATCACATGTTGTACAATTGATCCTGACATCTTTGTTTTTATAAGCTAAGTGTTATGATCTTATATTTCTTTAATTTTTAAAATCATTTTTTACAATAAAATGAATTGGAAGATCCAATACACATTATATACTAAAGAACAAATATAAAAATAACGGTATTTATTGATAAGTATGAACGAGAGTTGACGAATCAACAAATCTCATATGTCATACCACGTACATTTGACAAACATAAAACAAACAACAATTAGTACAACATTATTTAAACCATTTGGAACTTATTCAACATATAACACATAGAGGTGTTCCAATGGAGCATTAAGCATGAGAGTGATATAATTAATTATGTGTAATATAAGCACCAATAGCATCAATATAGTATCCAGCGCGACCGAGGAATCCAACGATCTGGTACCCACTTGGAATGTTGGAGGTGAATGGAGTTTCATCAACGGTGCCATATGGTCCGTACTCTCTTTCATTAGTAGTAAACTTTATCGATCTTAAGACATTGTTATCCAAGTAAATTCCAAATGTTCCACTTATCCCGGTCAAGTATTCATCAGAGCCATCAATATTCACCTATTAAACATGTCATGATCAAACAAAAATTAGCTCTAAATACATTTATATTTAGAAAGGAAGGCATGCCACTTCTAATATATATCACAAACAATAAATTAAATTAAGATGTACAAAATTAAATGTATAACCGTGTCAATGTTAGTGATTTCATCTGGCCCGTCTTTTCCTACTGTGATAGTATCCTTCGAACCATCAGCCTTAATGCAAGAAAAAGTTAGGGCAATGGGATTGGCACCATAACCACCATAAGAAATAACTATTTCATTTATCTTTCTGACAGGTCGAAAACTCCAAACATTTCCACCGTTATATCCCCATGGTCCAACTATGGTATCCGTGGAAACTGCCATGATTTCTTAGATGATAATTGGAGATTAAAGCAAAAGGAAGAATGAAGATGAGAAAGTTTGATTTGGTGTGCAGACTAGGAAGAATTAAAGGCCCTTTTTATAGAGAATTTAATGAAGCTAAGAGTGGGAAGGTCAATCTAGCGTACAACTTGAGGGAATTGTTAATGAAGCTAAAGGTGCACATGCCCATATTACCCATATAAAAGTCAATAAATACAAACCATTGATACGGGCAGCTGTATTCGATCTCACCCCTCAAAATAAGGCACTTATAGGGGTATAGGTCTAGCCTATGTGGTTCAGCTGAATTACCATTATTTACCTCTTCCTAGATGTTCTGTCCGGTCGGGGTGTGGGCCCCTTGAGATTGGGTATTCAACTTTTTGAAAAGAATTTTTATTTATTGGGTGTCATGAATTGACTGATCTCATCATCATTAGTTAAACAAAAAGTTAGTTATCTAATTAGAAAATCGCATGTGAGGATGAGGGGGGACCATTGAAGGGAAAATATAAGAGGGATGAGTAGCATTATTCGAGGGATAGGACAGGCCAGGCAAGTCCAAATATTTTTACCAGAACCTCCTCATGGTTAAACAAGTTTTTCTATACGTAGAGTACAAGCCAGCAAATAGGTTTGTCAAACAATTAATTTGACAATTCAACTAAGTTTATTAAACAATTAATTTAGTATACGTAATTAAGTTTGGTTCTTAAATAAGAACAATCTATTAACATATGCATATTCATATAATATATATTCATGTTTTACTTCTAATACTAGAATTCTATTCTAAATTATTTTATTGTAGTCATGCCAATTTTTTAAATTAATTATTCCATCATTGTCACATACATGCATCGATCTTACTATATTATAAAATATCAAGTTGTTTGTTATTATAGTTATCGGATGTGAATGTGTCGTGGCATGGGAACATAAAACCTTATCCGTTGCAGGAAGTGTTCCTAGTTTTCAAATCGATGTGTGTTCCTAGTTTTCAAATCGATGTGTCCTTTAATTATTATTTATTTTTTACGCATACATTTTTTTTTAAGTATTACTGACTCAGTCTATTAAAGTACAAAGAGTTAATATTGTCCGACTAAAACTCAAACTCATGACCTCTAATTTAAGAGAGTCACTTCATGTCAATAGACCACAAGGTCATTGGCTACTCGTACAATACATGAATTAAGTTACAAATTTTTCCTCAATGCATTTTATTCGGATGATAAAATCATAGATTATTCATGCAATTTGCCATCTTGCCTGTTTTAGCGTAATAATGTAATAACAATTTATGGGGTTACGGAAAATATATAATACGTGGTGCATGTGAATGCCTACCTTTCCCTCCTTTACAATCAATCAACCATACATCATTTTCTGCAAATTATTAATTTGCCAATTGCACTATACACCTTGTGGTTCGATCTAGTCTTTTACGACCAAAAAATTAAATCATTTCTTTTGATTGATAATGATCAAGTGGGTAAAATATAATTCTTATACTTGAAGATTATGAGTTTAATTAATTCTTATCAACACTCTCTCACAGTTAAACCTATTGAACATGATCTTAGTGAGATGCAATTTATCTTTCATGTGTGGGTTGTGACTATTAATGGTGGTGGGTTTTCCTCGTCACAAAAAAAAAAAAAAAAAAAAAAAAAAAAAAAAAAAAAAAAAAAAAAAAACTATACATATTATATATAAAGTTATATTGCCACTTATTGTTACATATATAATAAAATTTCACCATGGTTGTATTAATAACTAACATAAATTCAGTTATCCTTTTATCTAGGAATGATCAAATTAGTTTCTTAATTACCAGAATTAGGCCATTCATATCGCCCTTAATTGTGCACCAATGTGACGTTAGGTTGAAGATCTCAATTGATGGACATATTGGAAATGGGGCAACCCAACCCGGAAGATGAAGTATTGAAGACCCGGCGGGCCTTGGGTTCAGGCCCCGCGCTTGACCCAGGTCGCTTCGGCAACCCCTCGGATCGGCCGAGCCCTTGACCGACCTACCCGGGCACCTGGCCCGGTCAGAAGCGGATGTAACCGTTTCCTCTTCTTTAGGGGGGCGTTTACGGGTCTTATTGAGTATAAAAATACTCATTTTGCCCCTTTAGGACATCACTTGCTATCTTGTCCTAATATACTACATGTAATTGTGTTACACCCGTTATAGTCAACTTACCAACTTGCTATTAATATTATATTGTCTCTGTGACATACTTTGATTCCGTTACCTTGTCCATTTACTATTTCCTTTATTAATTGGGTTTAATAATTCGGATCACTCGAGTTAACTAAATCCATCATCAGTGATATAGAGTGTGTGTTTGACGTGTTTTAGATTCTCGTGTCACTTTTACTTATAACTTTAACATTAGTAACAATAAAATGTATGGAATTTAAGATGAAATCAACTGTTATTATTAAAAGAGGCCGGAATCAAAACAGTAACCTTAGCTCGTATATAGTTAGGGGTGACAATATCGATTCAACCCTAAATTATTTTTGTATCTATTCTTATAGTAGTGTTTCCGGTTGGCTACTACATTTTCACTCTAACAAGGTAACTAAAATTCACATATTCTCTACAACTCTTAATTGGTATATATTACATTGATATCTATTTCTTGTGAAATGAGATTAGTCTAATTGAATCTGATTCGAATTTCATTCAAAAGCAATTCTCTCAAAGACATTGTATATATAAGATATGAAGTCTCATTTTGAAGTTTTTTCTTGCCAAGTTCAATAATTAAAAAATAACTAAAGTTACGTTATAATTATTTGCTTACGGAAAGAAAAATTGGGAGAATAATCAAGAATGAGAGTGAAAAGAGATTATGAAGCTGAGAGGGAGAAATAGAATAAAAGGACAGGATATTATTATTATACACCTAATAGGGGCAACATTATTTATTAATATGCTCACACACATGAGAGCATATTATTTGAGAAACATAAAACATGCACCGCTCAGTACAACGTTATCAAGCCATTTGGAACTTATTCAACATGACATCCAAAACATAAAAGGTGTTCCAATTGAGCATTAAGCTTCAGAGTAACGATATAATCACTTAATAATCAGGTGCATTATAAGTACCAATAGCATCAATATAATATCCAGATCGCCCAAAGAACCCAACAATCTTATTACCATTCTGAGCCTGGAAGTTGAAAGGTGTTCCAACATTGGGGCCATACGTCCCAAACTCTCTTGCGTTGGTAGTAAACTTTATAGATCGTAACACATTGTCGCTACTTGCGAAAGCTCCAAACGTTCCACTTATCTCAGTCAGGTATTCATCCTCGCCATCAATATTAATCTATCCGCACATCATGAATCATGAAAAAGTTGGAAGGAAAGCAACGTAGAACATGTATATACATCACAAATAATAAATATAATTAAAATAAAATATACAAAATTAAATGTATAACCGTGTCGTTATGCGTGACGTTGGTTTCTGTCCCACCTCCACCAATTGTGAGTGTATCCTTTGAGCCATCATTCTTTGTGGCAGAAAAAGTTATACCAATGGGATTGTTATTTCCGCGCCCACCAAATGAAATAACAATTTGATTGATCTTATTCTTAGGTCGGAAACTCCAAAACCCACCACCATTGTGTCCCAATGGACCATATGCGACATCGGTGGAAATTGACATTGTTGAATGATAATTGAAAAGCAAAAGGTAGGGAGCTGAGAATGAAAATGAGAAAGTTTAGTGTGGAGAGAAGGAAGAGTTGATGGTCTTTTTATAGAGAGTGAATTGAAGTTAAGTAAGTGGTAGATTAGGTTGAAATACTATACATACGTAATGAGTTGTGGAACTAATTTTTGTTCACGTTGGAAGTGAGTCTTGCCAGGCCAGCATAACATGCATATGAGGTGACTGTCCAACTTTAATTTATGGTAGCCTAGCTTGGTGTTTTGCATAATTGAAGGTAGATAGAGTCGTTGCATTATGGAACAGTAAAACTTTTTTATTTTTCATTTTTTATTTTTTTTATTATGAGGAAATATGAGGACGGGTTCAAACTAAAAATGTCAATAGGTCATTATTGATGGGATTCCAACTTGTAATCTTGTAGCTACCAAGTCTACCGTTATGCAAAACTTCTGGCGTGAACAAAAATAGTTCGACAACTCATTACGTATGTATTTCATCTTACCACTTACGCGTGTGACCATTGATGAATATTTTAAACTCATGCTTTTTCTTTTCACATTTTGATATTTTTACTTGTTATTAATCATTATATTATGGAGTCAATTTGGTCACTTATGGAATGATTGTTTAATTTGTGCTTAGGTAACTTGACAAGAAAATGATGTTCTGAGCCAAACATATATTAAACTATTTTGATCAAGATGTCAAGTCATCCGAGGATATTTTTCTGAGGCAAAATGAAGAGAAGAAGATTGAACAACATGTGCCAAATATTTGTGTTTTATGGTCTTGATGATATAGGCAATTCTATGCAAAGGCAAAGCAAAAGATAATAAGGTGACATTTCTCATCCAAACTGGCGCTGTCTTAGTATTTTGACCATATCTCAGCGTAGGAGTGTCCGAATCAAGTGATTCTTGTACCATTGGAAAGCTAACTTGAAGGGATACAACTTTGATGAAGACTATAACAACTAATTCAAAGGTTTCGAGGGTGAAAAATAGCCTAGAAGACAAATAATGCGCACAAGAACTCTGCCTGGTGGCCACGGGTGTGGCCACGAAAATGGTCAGACCCGTGGCCAGAAGGCAGTGTGACTTCAATTCTAAATATTGGTATAGACACACCGTGCCTGTACCCATGGCCAACCTCGACAACTTTCGACATACAGCACATTTTGACCCCTTTAAAAAAGGATTTCTTCTACCTAAAAATATATCTTTCATTTCCCTTTCCCTCCTTTACAATCAATCAACCATACATTATTTTCTGCAAATTATTTGCCAATTGCACTATACACCTTGGGGTTGTAGTCTTTTACAACAACAAAATTCAACTATTTCTTTTGATCTGATAATAAATGGTCAAGTGGGTAAAACATAATTATTATATTTGAAGATTATGAGTTTAATTCTTGTTAATATTATCTCACAGTTAAACCTGTTGAACATGATCTTCTTAGTGATATGCAATTTATCTATTAACGGCAGTAGATTTTCCAAGTCACAAAAAAATAAATATTCATATTATAAAGTTATTTTGCCACTTATTGTTACATAAAATTTCACCATATATGGTTGCATAAATAAATAACATGAATTGAGTTACCCTTTTATCTAGGAATGATCAAATTAGTTTCTTAATTACCAGAATTAGGCCATATCATATCCCCTTAATTGTGCACCAATGTGACGTTGAAGGTTTCAGTGATAGAGTTTGTGTTTGACGTGTTTTAGATTCTCGTGTCACTTTTACTTTTATTTTAAATATTAGTAACAATAAAATGTATGGAATTACTTAAGATGAAATCAACTGTTATATTATTAAAAGAGCCAGGATGGAATCAAAGCAGTAACCTTAGTTTGTATATAGTTAGGGGTGACAGCATCGACTCACCCCTAAATTATTTTTGTATTTATTCTTATAGTAGTGTTTCCGTTTGGAACTTATTCAACATAACAATAACACCCAAAACATAAAAGGTGTTCCAATGGAGCATTAAGCTTCAGAGTAACGATACAATCACTTAATAATCCGGTGCATTATAAGTACCAATAGCATCAATATAGAATCCAGCTCGCCCAAAGAACCCAACAATCTTGTTGTCATTCTGAGCCTGGAAGTTGAATGGCGTTCCAACATTGGGGCCGTACGTACCGAACTCTCTTGCGTTGGTAGTAAATTTTATAGATCGTAGCACATTGTACGACCTATCTAAAGGTCCAAACGTTCCACTTATCTCAGTCAGGTATTCATCCGTGCCATCAATATCAATCTATCCAGACACATCATGAATCAAGAAAAAGTTGGAAGCTAGCTAGGAAAGCAACTTAGAACATATATATATATCACAAATAATAAATATAATCAACAAAAATATACAAAATTAAATGTATAACTGTTTCTTTACGGACGACGGCGGTATCTGAGCCACCTCCACCAATTGAGAGGGTATCCTTTGAACCATCGTTATTGGTGGTAGAAAAAGTTAAACCAATGGGATTGTTCTTGTTATTTCCGGGCCCACCAATTGAAATAACAATTTGACTGATCTTGTTCCTAGGTCGGAAACTCCAAAAGTCACCACCGTTGTGTCCCAATGGACCATATGCGACATCGGTAGAAACTGCCATTGTTTCTTGAATGAAAATTGAAAAACAAATTCAAAGGGAGAATGAAAATGAGAAAGATTGGTGTGGAGAGAAGGAAGAGTTAAGTAGTTAAGTAAGTGGTAGGGTGAAATACTATACATACTTAATGAGTTGTGGAACTAATTTTAACTGTAGGCACGTAATATGCAATTAACATGTCAATTCTGTGTTTGTAGTTAACATATATTGTGTATGTAATTAATAAAATAAAGTTGGGCAATCACCTCATATGCATGTTATGCTGGCCTGGCAATTATATTAGGAACTCACTTCCGACGTGAACAAAAATTAGTTCCACAACTCATTACGTATGAATTTCACCCTAAGCTACCACTTACTTAACTTCAATTAACTCTCTATAAATAGACCTCAAACTCTTCCTTCTCTCCACACCAAACTTTCTCATTTTCATTCTCCCTTTGAATTTGTTTTTCAATTTTCATTCAAGAAACAATGGAAATTTCTACCGATATCACATATGGTCCATTGGGACACAACGGTGGTGACTTTTGGAGTTTCCGACCTATGAACAAAATCAATCAAATTGTTATTTTATCTGGCGGGCCCGGAAATAACAATCCGATTGGTTTAATTTTTTCTTCGACTAATAAGACTGGTTCAAAGGATACCCTCACAATTGGTGGAGGTGGGACAGATACCACCGTCATCCGCAGCGACACGGTTATACATTTAATTTTGTATATATATATATATATATTTTTTTTTTTTTGTTTAATTATATTTATTATTTGTGATATATATATGTTCTAAGTTGCTTTAATTTCCTTCCAACTTTTTCTTGATTCATGATGTGTCTGGATAGATTAATATTGATGGCGCGGATGAATACCTGACCGAGATAAGCGGAACGTTTGGACCTTTCATGGATAGGTCGTACAATGTGTTACGATCTGTAAAGTTTACTACCAATGTGAGAGAGTTCGGGCCGTATGGTCCCAATGTTGGAACGCCATTCAACTTCCAGGCTCAGAATGGCGCCAAGATTGTTGGGTTCTTTGGGCGAGCTGGATTCTATGTTGATGCTATTGGTACTTATAATGCGTGATTATATGGTTACTCTGCAGCTCAATGCTCCCTTGGGACACCTTTATGTTTTGGTTGTTAGGTTGAATAAGTTCCAGAAGGTTTGATAACGTTGTATTGAGCGGTGCATGTTTTATGTTTCTCAAATATGCTCTCGTGTGTGTGAGCATATTAATAAATAATGTTGCGCCTATTATTAGGCGTATAATAATAATATCCTTTCGTTTTAGTCTATCTCTCCCTCTGATCTTCTCATCTTGATAATCTCTTTTCACTCACCGGTAATGAATAATTATAACTATAGTTATTTTTAAATTATTGAACTTGGCAAGAAAGGCTTGGGTAACTTCAAAAGAGTGGGTGAAACATAATTTTCGTACCAAAAGGTCGTAAATTTGATTCTTATCAATATATTTTTGGTGAAACGTTGTTGTGTAGATCATGATCGTCGAATGAAACTGTAGTAGAATTAAAGTGATAATAACTAGTGTGTGTGAAAAATGAAACTAAAAAAACAGAGCACATTATTGTTAAGTGAAACTGTAGTATAATTAAAATGATCCTTTAGCATTGCTATAATTAAACTAGCTAGTGTGTGATAAATAAAACTAAAATCCAGAGTCATACAATAACATATATTGTCAAATGACTTGAAATGCAATTAAAATTAATATAATACTTCAACATTATTGTAATTAAACTAGTGTGTGTGGAAAATGAAACAAAAAATAAAGCTCAAGCAATAATATATATTATCAAATGAAATTAATGTGGAGGAAAATGAAACTAAAACACATTGCAATATTGTCAAATGAAACTGAAGTGTAATTAAAATGATACATACTTCATGATCCACAGTAAAATTTGCCTCTTACAAATGTTATACCATGGACCAGGATCCACCTCGCATTGTAGACACTAGTCCAAAATTGTGTTTCGTTAACATATTATATGTATTTAGTTAGTAAATTATGTGCATGTAAATAAATTGAATGACCCATAATTTTTAAACTACAGACACAAAATATGTTAACTGTATATTATGTGCATGTAGTTAACATATTATCTCTATAGTTAACATGCTTTCAATTTATTTACAAGCACATAATCTATTAACTACAGACACATAATAGATTAATTGTAGACACAAACTAGGCTACCATAAAATTAAGTTGGGCAGTCACCTCAATATGCATGTTATGCTGGAAACTGGCAAGTATAGTAGGAACTCACTTCCGACGTGAACAAAAATTAGTTCCACAACTCATTACGTATGTATTTCACCCTACAATTTAACTTCAATTCACTCTCTATAAAATGACCTCCAATTAACTCTTCCTTCTCTCCACACCAAACTTTCTCATTTTCATTCTCCCTTTTAATTTGCTTTTCAATTTTCATTCAATAAACAATGGCAATTTCTACCGATGTCGCATATGGTCCATTGGGACACAACGGTGGTGACTTTTGGAGTTTCCGACCTATGAACAAGATCGATCAAATTATTATTTTATCTGGTGGGTCCGGAAATAATAATCCCATTGGTATAACTTTTTCTTCAACTAATAAGGATGGTTCAAAGGATTCCCTCACAATTGGTGGAGGTGGGAATGAAACGACCGTCATCCGTAACGACACGGTTATACATTTAATTTTGTATATTTTATTTTTAAATATATTTATTATTCGTGTACTCAAAAAAATATTTATTATTTGTGATATATATATATATATATATATATATATATATATATATATATATATATATATATGTTCTAAGTTGCTTTCCTTCTAACTTTTTCTTGATTCATAATGTGCCTGGATAGATTAATATTGATGGCGCGGATGAATACCTGACCGAGATAAGCGGAGCGTTTGGACGTTTCATAGATACGAGGTTCGATGTGTTACGATCTGTAAAGTTTACTACCAACGTAAGAGCGTTTGGGCCATACGGCCCCAATGTTGGAACGCCGTTCAACTTCCAGGCTCAGGATGGCGCCAAGATTGTTGGATTCTTTGGGCGAGCTGGATTCTATGTTGATGCTATTGGTACTTATAATGCTTAAGTGATTATATCGTTACTCAGCTCTGAAGCTTAATGCTCCATTGGAACACCTTTATGTTTCGGTTGTAATATGTTACGTTGAATAAGTTCCAAATGACTTGATAACGTTGTACTGAGCGGTCCATGTTTTATGTTTCTCAAATATTCTCTCATGTGTGTGAGCATATTAATAAATAATGTTGCGCCTATTATTAGGTGTATAATAATATCCTTTCCTTTTATTCTATTTCTCCCTCTGATCTTCATAATCTCTTTTCACTCACCCGTAATAAATAATTATAATTATAGTTATTTTTAAATTATTACTGAACTTGGAAAGAAGAAAGGCTTGGATAACTTCAAAAGATGGGTCAAACATGATTTTCATACCAGAAGGTCACAAGTTTGATTCTTATCAATATAATTTGAGTGAAATCTGTTTTGTATAATTTGCAAACTATTATACAAAATATTTATTCGGTGCACACATCAATTAGTGACTACTTGTTTTCTTGCGCGTCACAATATAAAAAGGGCTTGGATAGTAACCTTCAATTTTATTTTTAACCTGATGGTGCGTTGTGGTTCACAATATACATGTTTAATTTACTTCTCATAGTCTAATTTACTCCAAATTATATTGTTGTAGTTGTGTCAATATTTTTATTATTAATTATTTCACCATTGTCATATGCATCATATTCTCTTATATATATTAAAACTAGTCTTTTCTATGCGCGATACACAAAAACATATATCCAATATTTATATTTTTTAAAATAACTAACAAATTCCTACTAATTAAAATCTATATGAAATCAAATTTATTTATTATAATAATCCAATATATAATGTCTACAAATATTATTATTATTATTAAAGAATATAAGAAAATATATAGTGGATGCATGTGCATGATAACAATAATGGAAAAGATAACGAAAGTTATAACAGTAGGGATTTTTTGTCCAAAAAATTATATAATACAACTCTAAAAGCACAATGTACAAAATGATTAGCATTAAAAACATGGACATAAATGAGGGATATAACTTTGATTGAGACTTATTATGTTTTTAGATATTAAAATGTTGTACGTTTTCTATTATGTGTTGAAAAACTAGCTAAAAATGGCATGTAAAATTATGGTTATTTTGAAGCAAAGTTTTGAGTATGGTGCACTTTCGATTTGAGTCGATCGGGTTAAAGCAGATTTAAGTTCTCCTAAACAAGAAGTTTAATTCAATATATTATACACTCAGAATGAACAATGGGTGAATGATAAATTGATTTTCAAAGTGTACTTATTTGAGTTAGGAAAATTGAATTGAAGTTGCGAAGGTTTTGTAGTAACTTTTGTCCTACATTGGAAAATGGATGTTATTTGCATTAGTATATATACAATTTTATTTTAGGGTCAAATGTAGTTTGCATTAGTATATATACAAATTTTTGTTTGAAACTAAACACTAATGATTCTTTATACTTTCTCAATCTCTTTCCACCTAAATAATAAATGTCACAACCATCGAGGTTTGATCCTTTGACCACCCATTTAGAATGATAACAAATGTGTCATCACACTATATCACATATATGGTAGTTGGCTACAACTTTCTTTTCAGAAGAGATTAAATTGTACAAGCTTTCTCTCGCGGATTAGGGATGCAAATTAGATCAAAACCCAAAATGTGCTTACATGCACTTGATTTATAATGTTTAATTCTAATTTTAAAATGAAAACTTAATTTTAAGGGGAATGTGCACTTGGTAAATCCTGTCTTATAACCCTAATCAACAAAGAATCACAATGAGATAAACTAGCCTAAATTTTTGGATGGAGCTACCGTTCATAGGTCATGGTAATTTGTTTCATAATTCTAACTCATAGGTTCTTTTTGTCAAGCAAATATACTAAGGGGTTTTTTATAAATGAAATATTTTGAACTTACTTTATTTTTTGTCCAAAGTATATATGTCTTAGTTTTGCCAATTAAATTGCCAAAGGGGGAGATTATTAGTGTACAAATGATACATTTTAAAAACCCTTTAATAAGATTGGCTAATTTAATTGTCAAAGGGTTAAAATTAGTGGTTGTTATAAGATATGGACCGTCTCCTATCTTGGTTTTCTACTGCTTATGTCAAGTACAAATATTTAAGAGGCATGCAAATTTTTGGAGGATATTTGAATATGTGGATTCAGTCATTCTATGAAAGCAAAATGTTTAATTATTGTGGTGGTGGTTTATTCAAATATGGTTGGCATTTATTTAAGGCGTATGGATAGCTCATTATGGGGAAAGTGGTTGATTAAAATTCAATATAAAAGGAGTAGGTTCCTTATCTCTTACTACACGATTGACTATGCTATCACTTTAAAGGAAAGTTTTCAGATATTGTTTTATCAAATCACTGTATTATTCTCTTATGAAGAGTTGATCGTGCGGAGTTTATATCGTGCATCACGGCGCACATAGCAATGTGCGCCCAGGCACAAAACGTGCGTGTTTCTTGCTGACGTCACTTCGTCCGTCCGAACAGATCAAACTCCATTATGTGTATTCAGTTAAAAGTTTATGTGTATTGTGTTACGAGTTTATGTGTATTCAGTTAAGAGTTTATGTGTATTATGTTAACCAAACCCCATTATGTGTATTCAGTTAAAAGTTTATGTGTATTGTGTTATGAGTTTATGTGTATTATGTTAACCAGACCACATTATGTGTATTCAGTTAAAAGTTTATGTGTATTATGTATTATGTTAGATTATGTGTATTCTGTTATGAGTTTATGTGCATTCAAAACAAAGGTTTTTTGATCGAGTCGATTCCATGATTATAAGTTCATTCCATACCGGACCAGGTCGGAATAGGGTTATTCTCATTATGAGAAGGGGTCATTCGAGTGTATCTAAATAGATACTATGTTTCCATATGGATCTCTACGTCGTTACATTCCATTTAGGATTAGGACTAGACGTAATCGGACCTGCTTTTTACATATCTCTCTTGGAACCCTATTCACCTCTTTGAGTGAATCGAGAAATAGGTTTGATTGTCCATCTTTTTGATATAGATAAGGCATTCTCCGGTTTTTTTTAACAACTTAACAAAAGGACGTCGTTTTGGGAGGCGCGGGGCGCACAGTGCTATGTTCGCCGTGGTGCACGGTATAACGATTGTAGTTCGGCAACATCAGGTTCAGCTGTTTGAAGAAATCAGCATGCACGCACCTCTCCTATATTAGATGTTGTGAAGGTTGTAGTTGGTTGTAGTTGGTTGTAGTGGCTGATTGCTTTGTGTACAAACCCCTTGTAAAACCTTGGTGAACATCTAGTGGATTGGGCTGATGTGAGTTGCCCCGCAGAAGTAGGAGAAGTGCTCTGAACTGCGTGATCAATTCCGGTGTACTTGATTTTTATTTTATGCTTTTTATTTCGTTATTTATTTTCGTTAAATAACTTAATTAATTGGTCCGATAATATCTATACTAAAATCAATAGAAGTTTAAAATATATCTTGCATTCAAGATTCACGACACTTTCATCTTGGTTTTATATGGGTGATTTTTTTTTTTCAAAATAATTTTTGACAAACGAGAACAAAAAGCAAATTGGTATATTAAATTAAAGAGCAAAGATTTAAAAAAAAAAAAAAAACAAACAAACAACTTATTTATTAATAAGCTCATACACGAGAGCACATACATTTGACAACCATAAAGCAACCAATGCTTAATACAACATTATATTATTCAAACCATTTGGAACTTATTCATGAACAAACAACAACACATAGACGTCGTGTTCCAATATAATGGAGCATTAAGCTTGAGAGTGACGATATAATCACGCCCTTGTATGATAAATACCAAGAGCATCAATATAGATTCCAGATCGACCAAGGAATCCAACAATCTTGTTGCCATTCGGAGCTTGGATGGTAAATGGCGTTCCAACATTGGGGCCGTACGGACCATACTCTCTTTGATTGGTTTTAATTTTTATTGATCGTAAGACATTGTACCCCGAATCTATGAAAGGTCCAAACGTTCCACTTATCCCATTCAAATATTCACCCTCGCCATCAACAAATACCTATTTATAAATGTCATGAATCAAGAAAAAGTTAGTTAAATACATATTTGTATTTAGGATGGAATGAAACTTAACAATAAATATAATTAAATTAAGATGTACAAAATTAAATGTATACCATGTCGTTACGGGTGACCACTAGATCATTCCCACCTCCGCCTATTGTGAGTGTATCGCTGTTTGAACCATCTTCATTAACGGAAAAAAAAGTCATACCAATAGGATTTTCGTTTCTCGACCCACCAGAAGAAATAACAATTTTATGGATCTTTTGATGCGGTCGGAAACTAAAAAAGTATCCACCGTTAGTTCCTTCTGGTCCGATTACGCTATCGATAGTAGCTGATAACATGGTTTCTTGGATGATAATTGTAAAGCAAAAGGAATTAAGAATGAAAATGAGAAAGTTTGGTGTGCAGAGTGGGAAGACTTGGAGGTCCCTTTTATAGAGATCGAGTGAAGGTGCATGGTAGCATCAAAATATTAAATACATAACTTTAATACTTCTAGAGATTCACATTTTACACACACTCACATATATAGGGAAGGGATCAGGTGCATTTGAGGCTTTCCGTGCGATTATACGGGTGGACACACATTAAGCATTAATTTGACGCACTTAAAGTACACAACACACGCACATTAAGCACACAAACAAAACGTACACTTTCAGAACACAACCTCACGCATATAAAGCACAAACCTCATGCATGTTAAGTACAAGTCTCACGCATGTTAAGCACAAGCCTCACACATATTAAGCACAAAAACACACACACCTTAAGTTTTAAAAATAACTCACATTAAGTACACACTCACGCACATTAAGTACAAAACTCACGCACCTTAAGCACACGACTCACGCACATTAAGCACAAAACTCACGCACATTAAGCATAAAACTCATGCACTTTAAAGTTTCAACAACTCACATTAAGTACACACTCACGCACATTAAGCACAAAATTCATGCACATTACGCACAAGACTCACACACATTAAGTACAAAACTTACGCACATTAAACATTACACACTCACGCACATTAAGCACAAGACTCACGCACACTAAGTACAAAACTCGCGCACATTAATCACCCGTACAACCACACGGGAAACACTTAAATGCACCTGAACATATATATATATA